TGGCCTGGGAAACTGGTAGAAGATGGCCCAAGTCCTTGGTCCCCTGCAGCTGCATGGGAGACCCGGAAGAATTTCCTGGCTCCTGGCTTCGGATCAGCCCTTTAACTCCGGCTGTGGTAGCCATTTGGGGAGTGAACCAGCAATGGAAGCCCTCTCTCTCTCTCTCTCTTACTCCTTCTCTCTGTAACTCTTTCAAATAAATAAAATAAATCTTAAAAAAAAAACGAAGCTATGCCCATCTCTCTCTCCCCACTAATACCTCCTGTCTCATAATGACCATTATACTCTTCTGTGAGGTTGGCGTTTTAGGCTCCTTGTATAACGTGAGGTCATGTGGTGCTCGTCACTCACCAGTGGGTGGACACTTACGTTGTTTCCCCTTTCTCGGCTGTTGTGGCTGGTGGTGTGATTCACGCGGCAGCGGGGATGTCTGAAAGGGAGCTCATAGCCTTCGCCATACACCCAGTACTGGCACTGCAGCGTCGTCTGGTAGTTCCCCGAGGTTTTTGAGCAACCTGCATGCTGCTTCCCACGATGACTGTGCAAATTCCCACTCCCTCCAGCAGAGTACAAGGGCTCCCTGTCTTACACCCTCAGCAGCACGTGTTACCTTTAGTCTTTTTGCTAATAGCCAGTCTAACTGGAGTGAGGTGGTGTCTCACTGTGGTTCTGCCTTGCATTTTCCTTATGAGTATGATGTTGAACATTATTTCTTTCTTTTCTTCTTTTTTTTTTTTTGACAGGCAGAGTGGACAGTGAGAGAGAGAGACAGAGAGAAAGGTCTTCCTTTGCTGTTGGTTCACCCTCCAATGGCCGCCGCGGCCGGCACACCGCGCTGATCCGATGGCAGGAGCTAGGATCCAGGTGCTTTTCCTGGTCTCCCATGGGGTGCAGGGCCCAAGCACTTGGGCCATCCTCCACTGCACTCCCTGGCCACAGCAGTTCACCCTCCAATGGCCGCCGCTGCAGCCGGCGCACCGCGCTGATCCGATGGCAGGAGCCAGGAGCCAGGTGCTTTTCCTGGTCTCCCATGGGGTGCAGGGCCCAAGCACCTGGGCCATCCTCCACTGCACTCCCTGGCCATAGCAGAGGGCTGGCCTGGAAGAGAGGCAACCGGGACAGAATCCGGCGCCCCGACCGGGACTAGAACCCGGTGTGCCGGCGCCGCAAGGTGGAGGATTAGCTTATTGAGCCACGGCGCCGGCTGTGTTTTTTTTTTTTTTAACTTTTATTTAATAAATATAAATTTTGAATATACAACTTTTGGATTATTGGTTTTTTTTGACAGGCAGAGTAGACAGTGAGAGAGAGAGACAGAGAGAAAGGTCTTCCTTTGCCGTTGGTTCACCCTCCAATGGCCGCTGCGGCCGGCGTGCTGCGGCCGGCGCATTGCGTTGATCCAATGGCAGGAGCCAGGTACTTATCCTGGTCTCCCATGGGGTACAGGGCCCAAGCACTTGGGCCATCCTCCACTGCACTCCCGGGCCACAGCAGAGAGCTGGCCTGGAAGAGGGGCAACCGGGACAGAATCCGGCGCCCCAACCGGGACTAGAACCCGGTGTGCCGGCGCCGCAAGGCAGAGGATTAGCCTAGTGAGCCACGGCGCCGGCCAGAGACAGCCTTTTCATACTGCGCCACAACACCAGCCCCTGTTCAGAATTTTTAATGTGAAGAGGTATTAGACTTTATCAGTGCCTCTTCTGAATTGATCATATGGTTCTTTATCCTTCATTCTGTTGATGTCGTATATCACACTTATTGATTTGTGTATGTTCAACCATACTTGCATCCCTGGAATGAATTTCATTAGGTCATGGTGAATATTTTTAATGTAGTGTGGGATTTGTTTGCTAGTATTTTGTTGAGAATTTTTTACATCTGTGTTCATAAAGGGTATTGGCTTAAAGCTTTCTTTTTTTTTTTTTAATTGTCTCCTTTTGTGGTTTTGGTGTCAAGGTAATGCTGGCCTTATAAAATGAGTTTGGAAGAATTCCCTTCTCTCGTATTTTTGGGACTAATTTAGAGGAATTAGTGTTAATTCTTTAAATGTTTGGTAACATTCACCAGTGAAGCCATCTGGTCCTGGGTTTCTTTTTGTTGGGAGATTTTTTTTTATGGACTTGATCTTACTATTTTTTATTGCTCTGTTTTGATATTCTGTTTCCTCTTGCTTCAATCTTGGCAAGTTGTATAAGACCAGGAATTTGTCCATGTTTTCTAGATTATTCAATTTGTTGTTGTATAATTGTTCGTAATAGTCTCTAATCATCCTTACCCACAACAGCTGGGGCTGGGCCAGGCTGAAGCTGGGAGCCAGCAACTCAATCTGTGTCTCCCACATGGGTGACCGAGACCCAACACTTGAGACGTCACCTGCTGTCTCTCAGGATAAGAATTAGCAGGAAGCTACAGTGGAGCCATGACTTGTGCTTAGGCACTCCAATACAGAATGCAGGCGTCCCAACCGGCATCTACCTTGCTCCTAAATGCCCACACCACCAGTGAGTTTTCTACCCTCTGATATTTATTCTTAACTTATTAGCATCCCTTTCTTTGATTTTGAAGAACTCCTTTAGCATTTAAGAGAGGTCTTATTCTCTAAACTTTTGTCTGAGAACACCATTGTCTTTCCTTGATATCTAAAGGGTAGCTTTTCTGGGTGCCATATTCTTGGGTGCAGATGGCAGCTTTACGCAATACGCCACAGCACTGGCCTCTCTGTTTGATTTTTAAAAATAACTTTCAACTCTTTGTCATATCTCTCTATTAGACTAATAAGTGTTTCTTTGTGTTGTCTTGAAGTTCACTGAGTTTTCTTAAAACAGCTATTTTAGAGGCTGGTGTTGGGGTACGTGAGTTAAGCCATTACTTGCGACCCTGGGATCCCATATTGTTCAAGTCTCATCTGCTCTGCTTCCAAGCCATCTCTCTGCTGATGTCCCTGGGAAAGCAGCAGACGATGGCCTGAGTACTTGAGCTCTGCTACCCGTGTGGGGGACCCGCATGGTGTTCTAGGCTCCTCGCCTTGGCCTGGACCAGTCCCAGCTGTTGCAGCCAACTGGGGAGTGAACTAGCAGATGGAAGATTTCACTCTGTTTCTCCCTCTGTCTGTCACCCTGCCTTTCAATAAGTGAAACAAATCTTATTTTTAACAAAAACTCAACTACCTAAAATTTTTATCTGAATATTTGACAATGTCAGATCCTAGGTGGTTATTTTGTTCTTTGGGTGATGTCATGGTTCCCTGAGCTGAGTCCTAAGACAGTCCTGCGATTCCTTGCTGTTTGCACAAGGATGGGGAAGGGTGACAAATACAATCTCTTGGCCACCTAGACTGGCATTAAATTGGGTCATACCTGGCTCTCAGTCTTCAGGCCCTGCAAAGCCTCAGGGGCGCGCAGCAGGCCCCTGAGAGGCAGTGTGGCACACTCAGGCTTCCGGACTGGTGCAGGTGTCTACCTGATGCCGAAGCCAGGCTAGAAGCTCCACCTGCAGGCGTGGCCGTCAGGATCTGTCCAGCGTCGGCTTTTACCAGCTCGACACTGAGTGCCAGGTCCTGAGGTTCCTTGCTGCCTACTCAATATTGGGGTGGGAGGTGATAGAACACCCTACGTGTCACTGCCCAGGGTGGCCCTGCGCGGCAGTTCACACTCACCAGGCTCTGTGCAGTCTCGGTACACACAGCGCCCAATTGCACTAATACATGCCTAACCATGGCCGTCCCGTGGGGGCACAGATCTCTATGGCAAGGGCCACTCCAGAGGCTGCATCTGGGAGCATTGGCCCAGGCGCTAGAGGCCTCAGGGTTTCCCCAGGCTCCGAGTCTCACCGTGCCGGTGCAGGCCTGAGCTCCAAGGCAAGTGTCTGAGTGTCCTTTCTCGCCCTGCTCCCCGGCAGCTGGAGTCGGGCTCCACTGTCTGTCAGAGGCTGGGAGGGGGAAGGTGGAGGCAGTTTCTTAGCCACCTGGCTAAGGAAGTCCAAAACCTCAACTCGCAAATGGGAGCCTGTGGGGGAAGGTAGGGGGGCACAGGGCCCTGCCGAGCCCTGGTTTATATCATGGCAGGCCTGGTGCTGGATTCCAAGTCTAAGGGCTGGCCTTGGTTCCCTCTTGTTCCCTCAAGCTTGGAACTGGAGAGGGGTGACACAGGCAACCCCTTGCTCCCTGCTTTCTTCAGCGGGTCTCATCTTACTGTTTCAGTAAAACCCGGCACTGGCTTCCAGGTCTCTCGTGCGGGTGACTTGATGTGCAAATAGCCGTTCAGATTGGTGTCTGCGGGCCAGGTGATCACCCAAGCATCGCTCTCAGCTGCTATCTTGGTCCTTCTCTCCAAGACATTTAATTTCTTGGCCTGTCAGTTACAAGGAGTGCATTTGTCTATGTTCTTGACAGGTGGTCCTTTTATCTGTCTAAAAATAGACACATAAAACCTAAAATATGTGCAAGCAAAATAAAACCAGGGATGTGCGTTGGGGCACACAAGGCTCTGCTGCCTCTTGGGGTGGCTGCATCCCATAGCAGAGTGTGGTTTGAGTCCCGCTTACTCTGTGCTTCTGATCTATCTTCCTGCTAATTGCACTTGGGAGGAAGGCGATGATGGATGGCTCAACTGCTTGGGCCCCTGCCCCTCCAAGGGACTGACTTCAGGGCTCCCTGGAATTCCTTCAGTTCCGGCAGGCGGTCAGGGTGCTACTTGCCCAGCCCTCCCAGTGGCTCAGTGAAGCCTCTAACCCCACCCTGCTTTCTCCTTTTCTCGTACTTGGGCTGAGTGGCTGGTTTCCTGGTGTCAGGCAATTGAGTTGTAGTTTTCTGACCCAGAGTGTTTAAACCAGGAACGACCTCAGATGCGGGTTCTGAGTTTATAACGTCCCATATTTCTGCGTAGATTCCTGGTTGCACTGTTAACTGTTTTGGAAGCCTCCCAACTCCCTCCCACCCTCCCTCCCCCTCCCCCCGCCAATAAAAAGTAAAATTCCTACAAAACAACGAAAGCACCGTGGTTCTTAAACATTTTCATTGATTATGTTTCGTATGGCCGTCATGATCTCCCGCTTTATGCCAGAATTGTGACAGAGGGCAATTAGTTTTAGAGAAAGCGAAGACAGGTAGGAAGGTTGCTTTAGTTTTCCCAAAACCTGGCTTGAGGGAAAATTTGTACATCCTTCAAGTTTATGAAACAGGCGTCGGATCTTTATTAACTTGGCCAGCAGAAGCAGGTCGTCTCCGTTCAGGTACCGGAAGATCGGAATCTCCTCGGGGTGCAGCAGCTTTTCAGCAAAGAGAGGGAGAAAGGGCAGCTCAGAGACGGGAGTGACACTGTGGAGATGGGAGGAGCCAAATGGTGGCACTCATTTGGGCTTCGGTTCCCTACCGAGGAGCAGCAGTCTAGTTATCTGTAACCAGGGGCGATGGTGTCATTCTAACCTAAGAAAGAGCTGAAATGCTGTGGAGACCTGAGAAATCACCCGGAGCTTGGAATGTAATCAAGTAAGGTAGCGGGCATCTACTGAGGGAAGAACACAGATGCTTCAAATAGCCCCTCTCCCGGGTGCACCCGCCCGGGATGGTGTGCGGAGTGCCCACTGGGAAGGCGCTGAGGGGGCCAGTCTTGCTCAGAGAAGGTAGGACCGGGGGTCGTTTAAACTCCCTTTCTGAAGCGGGCGTTTGGCCAAGCAGTGGAGACCCCAGTTGGGATGCCTGCATCTCCTATCTCATGCATGGGTTCACATCCCAGCCCGGCTCCTGATTCCAGCCAAGCGAGCTAAGCACAGCCTGTGACGTGGGGGGTGGGGGGTGGCAAGGGGGAGCAGGATCCTGGAGGTAAGGGAAGGCAGGCTTCCAGGCAGAGGAAGTGGTGGACTGAGTACAATGTGCCGTGAGCTCATCAGGTTTAGCATAAATCAGTTCCAGGACACGTGAAATATTATGTAACAATTTAAAAGAGATTTTCAGTGTTCCAGAAAATGCAGACATGGAGAAACCTTCTGTTTCATTTAAGTTGAAAACAAAAGTAAATAGAACTGCCTCCAAGAATACAGTCAGTATAGTCTGATCTAATTCTTATTTTTTAAAAATGTATATGAATAATTTATAAATACCCAGCAAGCATGGGATGGTGATTACTTTGGGAAAGGGAGTTAAAATAGAAGAAGATATGAAAGGCAGTCTCGTTTTTTAAAAGGATTTATTTATTTATTTGAAAGTCAGAGTTACACAGAGAGAGGAGAGGCAGAGAGGGAGAGAGGTCTTCCATCCACTGGTTCACTACCTAATTGGCCGCAAGGGCCAGAGCTGCACTGATTTGAAGCCAGGAGCTAGGAGCTTCCTCTGGGTTTTCCCACGTGGGTGCAGTGGCTCAAGGACTTGGGCCATTTTCTACTGCTTTCCCAGGTTGGCTTTACCAGCTATGCCACAGCATTGGCCCTGAGGGAGTCTCATCTTTATCCTCTATATATTATTTGAATAATCTTCAAATATGAGGATATATTCACAGTCATTTTATTCATTTTCAGAAACCCAAAGAAAGGGTGATTGTGACAACAGTGAAAAAAAGTAAAATATTTGAACATCAAATTCTTCTTTTTGCATCAAAATGACTTAAGTTGGCTAAAAGTTCATTTCTAGTGGGGAGGGATCAGGAAGCAGGAACCCCAAGCATCTGACTGAGAACACTGTTATGTTTCAGGTCAGGATGTACTTACCATGAGTGTAATGTGCCACGGGAGGCTACGGTCCACGCTTCTAATCAGGAAAGAAACTTGTCTGGAGCCCAATCATCTGACTGCCCTAGCTAGACCAACAGAGCATAGCTAGAATAGTGCTTAGCACAACGTGGACCATCACTTCCTGTTAGCGGCATCTGAAACTTCCTTTTGTTTGATATTCAAAAGATAGTCCTGCTCGTGCTGAACACTGAGATCCTCTTTCTATGCATGTAAAAGTACGGGCTTTTCAGAAGTTGAAGACACTTCTGAAGTTTGGAGCTCCATCTTCCTTTAAAAATTGGTTACACTGGGGCCAGTGCTGTGGCGCAGTAGATTAATACTCCACTTGTGGCAACGGCATCCCATATGGGCGTTGGTTCTAATCCCGCCTGCTCTTCTTCCAATCCAGCATTCTGCTATGGCCTGAGAAAGCAGTGGAAGATGGCCCAAGAGCTTGGGCTCCTGCACCCATGTGGGAGACCCAGAAAAAGCTCCTGGCTTTGGATCAGTGCAGCTCTGGGCATTGCAGCCATTTGGGGACCAAATTAACCAGCAGATGGATGACCTTTCTCTCTGTCTGTCCCTCTCACTGTCTATAACTCTACCTCCCAAATAAATAAATAAAATCTTTTAAAAAAATTGTTACACAAAGGTCTTTAGAGTTCCAGGGACTTGTCCAAAGTCACACACTATATCCATTATAAATGTAGATACATACACATCAATCTCTATTTATGGCCACCTCTGTATCTGTGTTGAGTTAACATTTACTAAGTGCTTATTCAGTGCCAGGTACCACATCTGGTGCTTTGCATTCTCATTGAATCTTCACAGCAATCTATAAGTTAGGAATCAGCCCATTTTATGAATGAGGGACTGAAGTGCTAGTTCATTCACTTTAGCCAAGTGGTGGAGCTGGGGTCTGAACTAGAGATTCTGTAAGTAACCTGAAGTCCATGTTCATGCTGGTGCACTCTTGCCGGTGGCTGAGTGTGTTCTGGGCCATGCCCTGCGCAAGGCACTAGCGACAGAGCAGTCAGTAAGACAGGGATTCTATGCTTCAGGAACTCACCGTCCAGTAGGAAAGGCAGCCATGGGGCCATGTGAGGCAGCATGGCTCAGCAAGCACATGGTAAAGGCTGGTTCTTGGACAACCCCGAGGATGTGGTCAGTGCTAACTGGGCGGAGGACTAGGAGAATCAGGAAGTGTCTTTAACAAGGTGAGCCCCATGTTCGGTCTTGAACATGATTAGAAGAACCCCGGTCTCCTGGAACAGTCCAGGACTTTCTACCACAGCCTGGAGAAAAACACGGTAGCAAATCCTAAGACAAAGCCCCCAGAGCGACACCACTACCGGTCCCAGAGTAAACACTCATTAAGTGTTACTTGGATCCAAGTCTGAACTAAGGAATTTCTGAAGAGGAAAATTAGCAGTGTTGCCCCAATCCCACATGAAGCTTTCATTGTGTTTTTTCATTGAATTCCAAAATTCTTAAGGGATAGCAGGGTATATATATGTAAATATATCAGTAATAGTATGAACAGAAGTTACTTCACTCATACTGTAAATGCTTTAGAATGTTTTCCAAATGTACGTACCTTCACTTTGGTTCCAGCATTGATTCTTGCTTGTCGGCCCATTGCTAGGAAAGTGATAGAAATCTTGTCCTGTTCTAAGATGCGAATTCCAACGTAACAGTTCAAGGCCAGAAAGACAGGTTTAAATGAAACAAAGGATGCGGAAGCAAGGACACTTGACCAATTCCAAGCTCTCACTCTGTTGCCGGCTTGGTCTGAATATTGACCTCCCAAGATATTGATGTACACCCTGGGGAGGAAGAAAATAAAAAAATCACAAGCAGTAACTACAATTCCATGCTGGGATGAGTCCTGTCCCTGGCTAGACAAGGAGAGTGACAGTCCTGCTAGCTAATGGCATATGAGCAGTGGGAACCTCAGGGGTTCTCAGGAGTGATAATCCCAGCACCGCGTCCCACACTCATCTGAAGTGCTGAGTGCAATGTGAGGCCCTACTGATAAATTAAAATGAGTCCAAAAGATGGAACCAAGATGGCTAAGCGTTCTGCAAGGAGGAAGAGGGAGCAGGGAAAGTATTGGTCTGGGAAAGAAGAGAGAGACCGTTTCTGAAGGACAGGAGGCCAGAGCTTAGGTTTTCGCCCATGGGTGTAAGTTCCGGAGCAGTCTGAGCCAGCCTCAGTACGGGAGAGCTGTTTCTAGCAGCCCACCAATTCAGACTGAGGACCGGGAGGCCTCCCCCGAGGGCTGGGTGAGAGCGCCTGTGACCCTTGCTGGAGGGAAGGGCTCTGTGACGGAGCAGAAGCTGGAAGAATGCAGACCAGCTGGGGCTCCCCAGTCTCTAGGACCACGAGTGCCCCACACTTCACTACACTGCACACAGAGTGAGCCCTGTACACGCTGAGATCTGGTGGCACTAACTGTGCCATTCTCCTCAGTTGTCTCAGCAGACTCTCCAATCTGGATCACAGCCCCCACCTTGAGGAGAGAACGTAGAGAGACTTAGAAAGTTGGCTGGGCCTGTGCTGTGGTGCAGTGGGTTAACGCCCTGGCCTGAAGCGCTGGCATCCTATATGGTTGCCAGTTCTAGTCCCAGCTACTCCTCTTCCAGTCCAGCTCTCTGCTATGGCCTGGGAAAGCAGTAGAAGGTGGCCCAAGTGCTTAGGCCCCTGCACCCATGTGGGAGACCCAGAGGAAGCTCCTGGCTCCTGGCCTCAGATTAGCGCAGCTCTGGCCATTGCGGCCATCTGGGGAGTGAACCAGTCAGTGGATGGAAGACCTCTCTCTCTGTCTCTACCTCTCTCTGTAACTCTTTCAAATAAATAAAATAAATCTTAAAAAAAAAAGTTGGCTTAATTTGCTAGTGAATTATTTTGTTAGTGAGGCAAGTTGGCTGAGCGTTTGGTGCAGTGGTTAATTAGCCACTGGGATGCCTGTGTCCCATGTTGGAGTACTAGGTTCTCAAGGCCTGCCTACTTCACTTCTAGTTCAGCTTCCTGCTGATGTGCGCCCTGAGAGGCGGCAGGCGATAGCTCAAGTGCTTGCACTCCCTAATGGGAGGCCTGGATGGAATTCCAGGCTCCTGGCGTCAGCCTGGCCCAGCCCTGGCTGTTACAGACCTTTGGTGAGTCAATGAGTGGTTGGAAGATCTCTGTCTGCCTTTCAAATAAAATAGAACAGAGAAAAGAAAGAGACAGACTTGGTCATGTGGGTTTCCCAAAAGTAAGATAAAAAAATCTTATCTCCCCAGTATTGATTAGTGATAGGAACCTAATAGCAAAGACACAAAGAAGGAATTGAGATGATTATCTTAGCAGACTTAGGAAAGGAGAAATTTAGTTTTATCTTGAAATATGAGTGAAAATAATACTTGGCTGACATTATCTGGGTAAGCTGGTCCTTTTTGAATTTAATATACATTCTTTGCCTTGTACAGACAGATTGCCAGGTGGTGGCACAAGTTCAGGGTGTTTTTTCAAGGAACTTGGCGTCCTGTAGCAGAGGGAATGTACTTGCTGCTCAAGAGGCAGATACAGGGGGTGTTGAGCGGATCAAGGAGCCGCCAGCCTGCCAGAAGTGTGGTTTGTGGGTCAGGTGGCTTCATGCAGTCTAGAATCTGTAGTCCAGCTCTCATTGACTTCGGGTGACAGTAAAGCACTCCACCAAATGTAGCATAGAATTGCCACTGAATTCCGAACGTTAAGTCAAAATTTTCCAGTATGTTTGGTGGTAATGGACTGACTGCTAGGTAAACACAAATAAGTCACTGTATCTCAAGTACTGGCAGGGGCCCAATTGGCCAATTATTGGCAAGATGAGAGTCTTGACACCTGTAAATAATTTAGAGGGATGAATATCTCTTTCTGAAAAGCTCAAAAGGTGTTAATCATAGTGAATCCAAATTTCACTTTGTTAGGCTACATGATATAATATGAACCCATAGAGTATGTATGTTAGTCGATCAAAATGGGATCAGGAACTTAATTCTTTCAGAGATTTTGTGTGTGTGTTACTATTGTTGGTTGTGGCTAAAGGAAGCTTACAAGTTAGGAGTGTATCTTGGGGCCAGCACTGGGGTATAGCAGGTTAAGCTGCCACCTGCAGTGTTGGCATCCATGTTCCAGTCCCAGCTGCTCTACTTCTGATCCAGCTCCCTGCTAATGTGCCTGGGAAAGCAGCAGAGGATGGCCTGAGTGCTTGGGCCCCTGCACCCACAGGGGAGACCCAGATGAAGCTCCTTGTTCCTGGCTTCAGCCTGGCCCAGCCCTGGCCATTGTAGCCATTTGGGGAATGAGCCAGGGGATGGAAGATCTCTGTGTCTCTCCCTCTCTCTCTGTAATTCTGACTTTCAAATAAATAAATAAATCTTTTTAAAAAGAAGATTTAAAGAAGGGAATGTATCTCAATAACAATTGCGCCATTGTATAGTTCATATTTTCTTTTTCTTAAAAGATTTTTTTTTATTTGAAAGAGTTACAGAAAGAAGTAGAGACAGAGAGAGAGAGGTCTTCCATCTGTTGGTTTCCTCCCCAGATAGCTGCAATGGCCAGAGGTGAGCCAATCTGGAGCCAGGAGCTTCTTCCAGATCTCCCACATGAGTACAGGGGCTCAAGTGCTTGGGCCATCCTCTGCTGTTTTCCCAGGTGCATAAGCAGGGAGAGGATTAAAGGGGGAGCAGCCAGGACTTGAACCAATGCCTATTTGGGATGCTGATCCTTCAGACTGGGGCTTTAATCCGCTGCACCACAACGCCGGCCCCAGTTCATATTTACTTTTTACTTTTTTTTTTTTTTTTTGACAGGCAGAGTGGACAGTGAGACACAGAGAGAAAGGTCTTCCTTTGCTGTTGGTTCACCCTCCAATGGCTGCCGCGGCTGGCGCACCACGCTGATCCGATGGCAGGAGCCAGGTGCTTCTCCTGGTCTCCCATGGGGTGCAGGGCCCAAGCACTTGGGCCATCCTCCACTGCACTCCCGGGCCACAGCAGAGAGCTGGCCTGGAAGAGGGGCAACTGGGACAGAATCCAGCGCCCCAACTGGGACTAGAACCTTTATAGAAAGAATATGATGAGCCTTGTTTTGTGTAGTTGCTTGGAATTTTCCCATTGAGTTGCATATGGAATGGCAAAAGCCAGAAATTCTTCTGGAGCCAGCGTTATGGCGCATTGGGTTAAGACGCTGCGTGCAACACCAACGTGGTCATATGGGGCTGGTTTGAATCCACATTGCTCCACTTCCAACCCTGCTCCCTGCTAAAGCATCTGGGAAAGCAGTGGAAGATGGTCTAAGTACTTGATACCCTCCCACCCACATGAGAGACCCAGGTGGAGCTCCTGGCTTTGGTCTGGTCCAGTCCCCTAGACATTGTGGCCATTTGGAGAGTGAACTAGTGGATGGAAGATCTCTCTCTCTCTCCGTCCCTCTCACTCTCTCTAACTTTGCCTTTCAAATAAATAAACAAATCTTTAAAAAATGCTTCTTAGTTGAACATTTCTACCTAATGACCCTAACTTAAATAGATCACTTAAAGCCATTCTTAACATTTATAATTTTTTCCCACAAAATCAAAAATAAAATGGAGGTTGGCATTAGCCTAGTGGTTAAAGGTTGTGCATCCCATATCAGAGAGCCTGGGTTTGATTTCTGGTTCAAGCTCTTGACTCCAGCTTCCTGCTGATGTGGACAAATGGCTCAAGCAATTGGGCTCCTGCTACCCCTGGGAGATCTTGATTCACTTCTTAGTTCCCAGTTCCTAGTTTCAGCCCCAGCCCAGCCCTGGCCATTACAGGCACTTGGGGAGTGAACCAGCTGGTGGTGGCTCTCTCTCTCTCTCAAATAAAATAAAATACAAGAAAAGTAAAAATGGCAGCAGGAGGAACCTAGACGCCTACCAGACATTTCCATTGGGATGATAGCAGGAACTTTTGCCAGAGGAGTCCAACACTGCCAGGATGGAGGGGTTAGTAGACATATCTTCTTGAACTATACTAGTGAAACCATTTATCCTGTTGGGCACTCGGACGATGGCTAGGTTTCCAGATGGATAGCTGAACTCAGATAAGGTTGTATGAGTTGTTCTAATGGTCCTAACTGTTCTGGGAATAAATTCAGTTTATGAAAGGGTACTTTCTAATTATATAGCATTCTGAAAATAAGAGATACTATTATTAACAATTTTTATGCTTTTTATGTGGATTAAAATGTATTTATTGGGGGGGGGCTGTTCTGTGGCGTAGTGGGTTAAACTGCAGCCCATAGTGCTGGCATCCTATATGGGCGCTGGTTCGAGTCCTGGCTGCTCTACTTCCGATCCAGCTCTGTGCTATGACCTAGGAAAGCAGTGGAAGATGGCCCAGGTCCTTGGGTCCCGGCACCTGCATGGGAGACTTGGAGGAAGCTCCTGGCTCCTGGCTTCAGATCAGCCCAGCTCCAGCCATTGTGGCTACTTGGGGAATGAACCAGCAGTTGGAAAACCTTTCTCTCTCTCTCTCTCTCTCTCTCTCTCTCTCTCTCTCTCTGCCTCTGCATTTCTGTAACTCTGCCTTTTAAATAAATAAAAAATATATATATTATATATTTATGAGATACAAGAATACTCAAAAAACACCAGCAAATGGAATCTAACAATATATAAAAAGAATTATGTACCATGATGAAGTGGGATTCATCTCAAGAATGGAATGTTAGTTTAATATCTGAAAATCAATTAATGTAATATATCAATAAAGAGCAAAAACACATGATCATCTCAATAATCACAGAAAAAGCATTTGGAAAAACCCCAACACACTTTTGTCAAAAAGACTCGATAGACTTCAAATAGAAGGGACTGTCTTCAACATGATAAAGGCATCTACGAAAAACCTACAGCTAAAATCATACTTAATGATGAATGATTGGATGCTTTTCCCCAAAGATCAGACACTAAACAGAGATGTCCACTCTTTCCACTTCTAGTCAAGGTTGTTTTGATCACAGAAAGTCCAGGGAAGAAAAAGAAATGAAAGGCATCAGCTTGGGAAGGGACGTATAGTGGTGCCTCTGCAGATGACATGCTCTTGTATACGGAAAATCCTAAGGAATTCAGAGAACAATACATGACTTCAGAGTGGTAGGCTCCAAGATACACATTGTATTTCTACACATGAGCACTGAGCATTCTGAGAATGAAATTCAGAAAACAGTTCTGGGATGGGTGTTTGGTGCAGCGTTGTAAAGATGCTGTTTAGGACACCTCTATCTCACATCAGAGAGCCTGGTTTTGAGTCCTGGCTCCACTTCTGATCCAGCCTCCTGCTGGACACCCTGGGAGACAGCAGATGATGGTTCAAGTACTTGGGTCCCTGACACCTACATAGGAGATCTAGATTTAGTTTCTGGCTCCTGGCTTTGGCCTGGCCCAACCCTTGCAATTGAGGACACTTGGAGGACAAATCAGTGGATGGAAGATCTATCTTTTTCCAGCTCTCTGCCTTTCAAATAAATAAAAATAAATTGAAATTTTTATAATTCCATTTATAATAGCAGCAAAAATATATACTGAGGCTAATTCACTGTTAATACTCATACTCAGTCCATGTTTAGGCTGATGAGAAATCCGGAGATAAAATAAATACAAGATTGATTCTGAGTCATTTTGAAAATCCATCACAACCTTTAAGAGAGTTAAGAATTAAAGTCAGGCCGGCGCCGCGGCTCACTAGGCTAATCCTCCGCCTTGCGGCGCCGGAACACCAGGTTCTAGTCCCGGTCGGGGCACCGGATTCTGTCCCGGTTGCCCCTCTTCCAGGCCAGCTCTCTGCTGTGGCCCGGGAGTGCAGTGGAGGATGGCCCAAGTGCTTGGGCCCTGCACCCGCATGGGAGACCAGGAGAAGTACCTGGCTCCTGGCTTCGGATCAGCGTGGTGCGCCGGCCGCAGCGCGCCAGCCGTGGTGGCCATTGGAGGGTGAACCAACGGCAAAGGAAGACCTTTCTCTCTGTCTCTCTCTCTCTCTCACTGTCCACTCTGCCTGTCAAAAAAAAAAAAAAATAAAATAAAATAAAAAAAATAAAGTCAGGAGCTGGCTTTGTGGCGCAGTGGGTTAAAGCCACTGCCTGCCGTGCCGGCATCTTATATGGGTGCCGGTTCGATTCCCTGCTGCACCACTTCTGATCTAGCTCTCTGCTATGGCCTGGGGAAGCAGTAGAAGATGGCCTAAGTCCTTGTGCCCCTGCGTCCACATGGGAGACCGGGAAGAAGCTCCTGACTCCTGGCTTCGGATCAGCACAGCTCCAGCGGTTGTGGACAACTGGGGAGTGAACCGGCAGATGGAAGACCTCTCTCTCTCTTTCTCTCTCTGCCTCTCCTCTCTCTGTGTAACTCTGACTTTCAAATAAATAAATAAATCTTAAAAAAAGAATTAAAGTCAGGGAAAGAAATGATAACTAATAAAATCGGGAACATTGCTTCAGGTTTTTAAATATATATGGGCCTAAGGAACTAAAAATTCAATTTGCCTCCTGTGTTGTGAAAGCCATTTTTCTGATTTATTATTGATAATTATAGTTAAACATTTAGGAAACTACGACTAAAAATTTCCTCTAAAAAGGAAGGCCCTTGGTTCATGAAAAATGGTGCCTCATTTTTTGCTTGCATGTTTTTACTTTCCTCAAGATACTAAATGAACTTTGTGCCAAAATATCAAATGGCCTGGCCATGGGGCAGAAGTCCAAGCAATCAGTAACTTAGGGTTCCATAAAAGGATGTTGAGTTTTGGTGTTAAAAAGTAACAAACTGCTCAGGCATGTGTAAACGTGTATCCATTTGGGAGGCAACACTCCATCAAAGCTTTAGAATGCCTGAATTTCTTTCCCATAATTTCTGCTCCTAGATATTTAATTCAAGATAATACACAGTAAGTGTACACAAAGCTGTTCATTTAGCTATTATATACAGCAGCAAAAATTGTGAAACCATCTTTGTTCAGTCATGGGGGACAGGTTAAATGGATGATATAGTACAAGGGTAATTCAGAAAGTTCATGGATGGAAATAATATGAACATTTTCCATGAACTTTTAGAAGCATCCTCATACATTGCTATAATGAAATACTATGTGATTATAAAAGTACTGCCATATCTATATTTATTGCATATTATATACTCATAACATCTATTATATAAAAGGACCAGTTATAAGATATGAATATATTGCATAACAGTTGATTTTTAAAGAACCATATGGGCATACTTAAAACCATTTGTGGAAAAATGAAGTTAGAAGTATTAATTTATTTGGGTGCAAAAAGACTTCATGATACATGGGAAATGTGTATTATGAAAACAATATGCAAGGATTTCAATTTTTTTTGCACCAAAATAAACTCATACTTTTAATTCCATTTTTTCAAGAACTTCTTGAAGCACCCTTGTATATGCTCATAGGAAAAAATAAGGAAAGCTATGTTTAAAAATGCTACCAGCTTTCCTCTGGGCACTAGAATTTTAGAGGTAATGCTTTTTCTGTATATTTTTTTCTGTTTTTTAAAGAAAGTGAAGCTAACAAAAATAACTTGTTGGAAGAAAGGATACAATATTTGCATTGTGCCATCTGGAAATGAAGTCAGAAACTTGCTCCCATGTTTATAGTGCTTCTCCAGGAACTCGTCCCTCACAACCTGGCACCAGAGAAAAGAGCAGAACACGGGACTGTTACTTGTTTCACACACAAAGCACTAAGTGTATCAGTGAATGCTGTTGCCTGCCAGTGATACAAATCATTTCTTTTTCTTCTTCTTCTTCTTTTTTTTTTTTTTGACAGACAGAGTGGACAGTGAGAGAGAGAGGTAGAGAAAAAGGTCTTCCTTTTCCGTTGGTTTACCCCCGCAATGGCCGCTGCGGCCGGCGCACTGAGGCTGGCACAATGCGCTGATCCGAAGCCAGGAGCCAGGTGCTTCTCCTGGTCTCCCATGCGGGTGCAGGGCCCAAGCACTTGGGAAATCCTCCACTGCATTCTCGGGCCACAGAAGAGAGCTGGCCTGGAAGAGGGGCAACCGGGACAGAATCTGGTGCCCTGACTGTGACTAGAACCCGGTGTGCCGGCGCCACAGGTGGAGGATTAGCCTATTGAGCCGCGGCACTGGCCAGGAGGTCTTTTTTTTTTTTTTTTTTAAGATTAATTTTTTATTTGAAAGCAGACTTATGGAGAGGAAAAGGCAAAGAGAGAGAGAGAGGAAAAAAAAGAGAGAGAGAGAAAGAGGTTTTCCATTTGCTGTTTCACTCCCCAAATGGCTGAAATGGCTGGAGCTGAGCAGATCTGAAGCCAGGATCCTGGAGCTTCTTCCAGGTCTCCCATTTGGGTGCAGGGACCCAAGGACTTGGGCCATCGTTCACTGCATTTCCAAGCCATAGCAGAGAGCTGGATAGGAAGAGAAGCAGCTGGGACTTGAACCAGCACCCAAATGGCACTGTAGGCGGTGGCTTTATCTGCTATGCCACAGCGCCAGCCCCTATTAGGAGTTCTATGTGCTTTGTGTACTTGGACATCTCTTTCTCCAAATTAGGGAAGTTTTCTGTGATTATTTCACTAAAACAGCCTTCTAATCCATTCTCTCTCTCACTTTTTTTTTTTTAACGCCTTCAGAAACTCCTAAAATCTGTATGTTGGGTTGTTTGATAGTCTCCCGTATGTCTCCAACACTGTTTTTAATTTTCCTGATTTATTCTTCTCCTCCTCCTCCTCTTCTTCTTCCACTTCCTCCTCCTCCTCCTTTTTTTTTTTTTTTTTTTTTGCCAAACTGAAAAATTTCCAAAGATTGGTCTTCTAGCTCTGATATTCTTTCTTCTGCCTCACCAAGTCTGTTGTTTAGGCTTTCCACTGCAATTTTATTTGATCTATTGACTTCTTCATTTCTAATATTGCATTTTGATTTCTCTTTAAAAAAATCTCAATTTCATGGGAAAATTTTCATTCCTGTCATGTATGAATTTCTTTAATTCATGGATTTGCTTTTGATTGCTTTGGAGTAATCCTATGATAAACCTTTTGAATTCCATTTCAGGTGTTTCATCAATCTCTTCATCACATTCTAATGTCGAATTGTTGTTATGTTCCTTTGGGGGGGTCATGTTGTCTTTATTCTTGTTTCTTGAATTTCTGCATTTGTTTTTAGGTATTTATGGAGATACTTGTTAGTTTTTTCCTCTGATGGCTTATACAAGATAACTTTGAACTGTTCATCTGTGGCTTAGTGGAATGTCTGCACTTTCAGTGAATACCCAGAAGTGCATGCTGGATGTGGCCAGGGAGCTCTGGTCAGTGCTCCAGGGTGGGGCGAGTATCCAGGGTGACGCCCAAGTTGGTTGTGGTAGATTTCCTCTTGTTAACAGAGTGGGGGGTATGGTCAACTCTGTTGGTGTAATCACACCCTAACCCCTCTCCTCCAAGGTGGTCAATGCCTGGGTGTTAGCCCCCAGCGGGTTCCGCCCTTGTCTACGTTGCCATATGAATCACACAAATGATCTGCACAGTCCTCACTCCAAGCACAGATCCCACTGCAGTGACCTACCCCAGGCATCAGGGAGCTCTGAGAGTGTGGTGCCACTCACGATTGCCCCAGAGACCCAGCTACACCCTGCACCCTCTCGTGCAGCCACAGAGTCCCCAAAGTCTCATCACATTAGGCTCCCACAGTCACAGGGTGCAGAGGATCCATTCCACCCTGCCAGCCTATCTGGTCCACAGAGAGGCAGATGTTCCCTGAGCCAGCTTCCTCTGGGTGCTCTGCCTAGGCGGCTTGAGTCCTGGAGCCTGGGAAGGCTGGGGGCACCTCACAGTCTTACATGGGAGCCCAGTCCCTATCAGTCCCCCAGCCAGACTCAGGCAGTGGGGAATGCGGATTTTTCCCTCTGCTAGAATCCCTGATCACACGCACACACACTGGCTGAACGTTGCCTTCTCCCCGCCAGGTGCACCAGAGCTGCTGCCACCAGTCCTGCTGAGAAGATGCCATGTTGCTGCGCACATGCACAACGGCTTGTGCAGCTGCCACTTATGACCGAAATAGCACCTGCCCCTCCCAGCCAGTTGCCGAGTGCCATTGTTGGAGGGGTGAGGTGAGAGAATGTCGTCTCCCCCACTTTTTTTATTGCGTCTGCAGGTGCCCTCTCCCCCTTAAGGCTCCGGGCTGGATTCATGGCATGCTCTCCCTCCGGCTATAGCACCAGTGGCACGGATTGCTGCAGTGGGATCTCACCTCAGTCTCCAAAGCTGGTGCTTCCTCCAGCTCTTGGCTGCTGCAGTCGTGTGTCGTGCCTGTGTCTGTGCTGCGTGTCTGCACCTTCCGTGGTGCACACAGGCCCACGGTGTTCCTCTTCCTTTCGTAGAATTTCTACTGTGGTTTTCTAGTTCTTGATTGACAATGACTTCCTAGTGCTGTATGTTGTTCCTTATTCTGCCATCTTGGAATCCCCCAGGTTTTTTTTTTTTTTTTTTTAATGAGAATCTTTATTATTATGTACAGGGAACTAGACAGTGCACATTTATCCCAGCTTTGTGGCGAGTTCTTTAGCCTTGACCTTTTCCAGCTTGGCAGTGTGATCCATGGATTGGTTAATGGCAGGAGGCACCTTCAGCTGCTGTAGCCGGATATAGTGAGGGCATTTGACAAAATGGGTGAGGTCCCTCTTGGGCTGGATGTGCTGTCCAATGCCAAAGTTCTTAGGTCTTTTCTCAAACACAGGACTTCCCACCTTCTTGGCCCTCTGCTCTTCACTACAGCAGGGGCTGGGGCCACTTTCTTCCCCTTGGCCTTCTTTCCTTTTGACATCTTGGGTGGCTTGACAGAGCCACTGAAAGTCACCCATTTATGATGTATGCCCTTATCAGCCCAGGATGTCCCAGACAGGTAGGCTTAGTGAGAGTCAGAACCAGCAGAATCATAGGCCACAAAATTCCACCATGGGGTTTGGCACTGTGGTGTAGTGGGCTAAGCCTCCACCTGCAGCACTGGCATCTCATATGGGCCCCGGGTCCAGTCCTGGATGCTCCATATTCAATCCAGTTCCCTGCTATTGCACCTGGGAAAGCAGCAGAAGATGGCCCAAATATTTGTTCCCCTGCACCTGTGTGGGAGACCCAGCAGAAGCTCCTGGCTCCTGGCTTTGGATTGGCTCAGCTCCAGCCTTGGCTGCCATTTGGGGAGTGTACCAGTGAATGGAAGACCTTTCTCTCTGTCTCTCCCTCTCTCTCTAACTCTGCTTCTCAAATAAATCTCTCTCTCTCTCTCTCTCTCTCTCACACACACACACACACACAAATTCCACCGTGACATCTTCAGAGTCACTCCTTGGGACTTGGTTTGCCAGGTATGAAGTTAACCATTTCTGTCTCAGTGACCTAGTGAGTCCTAACAATGAATACTATATAATACCTCATAAAATATTTTTGAAGGATTAGTTTGCTTTCATTAACTATTCAAAAAAATTTTTTTACTTACTTACTTACTTATTTATTTTTATTTGAAAGGGAGAGGGACAGAGACAGAGCCCTTCCTTGGCTCACTCCCCAAGCCCCTATAAGAGCTGGGTCAGGGCTAGGCTGAGTCAGGATTCTGGAATCAATTCAGGTTTCCCACATGGGTGGCAGGGACTCACGTACTCCAGTCACCACCTGCTGCCTCTCAGGCTGTACATTAGCAAGAAACTGGAATTGAAGGCAGAGCCAGCATTTGAAGCCAGGCACTCTGATATGGGATACGGGCAACCCAAGCAGCATGCTAACTGCTACAACAAGCACCCATCCTGGAAAGCATATTTTTCCAACTAAGTTTAAGAGTAGATAAAAGTTAACATACACAGGGGCTGGCACCTTTGGTGCCTGCATCCTATATGCGTGCCAGTTCAAGTCCCTGCTGCTCTACTTCTGATCCAGCTCTCTGCTATGCCCTGGAAAAGCACTAGAAGATGGCCCAAGTGCTTGGGCCTCTGCATCTCCATGGGAGACCTGGAAGAAGCTCCTGGCTGCTGGCTTCAGATTGGCCCAGCTCCAGCCATTGCAGCCGTTTGTGGAGTGAACCAGCAGATGGAAGACTTTTCTCATTCTCTCTCTCTGCCTCTGCTTCTCTGTAACTCTGCCTTTCAAATAAATAAATAAATCTTGAAAAAAAGGCTAACATATATAATATGATTACAAGGATGTTAACAGAGACCTATGGAAGGAAAAAGGTCTAGAACACTGTTATCTACTAGAACTTTTTATGACAAGAAAAATGTTCTATGTTGGCATTGCAGTGTGTAACCATTAGTCACACACAGCTGTCTAGGACTTGAGATACACTTAGTGTGACTGAAGCCTTACATTTTAGATTTTATTAATTTTAATGAATTTAAGTTTAAATAGTCATGTATCATATTGCTACCATATTGGGCAGTGCAAGTCTAGCGCAGTGCAAGTTCTAAAACATGCAGCTATCACATTTTTTAATAGTTGGCTTTTTTTTTTTTAAAGATTTGTTTATTCACTTGAAAGGCAGAGCTACAGAGAGGCAGAGACAGAGAGAATGAGAGAGAGAAAGGTCTTCCATCTGCTGCTTCACTCCCCAGGTGGCCACAATGGCCGGGGAGCTCTGCTGATCCGAAGCCAGGAGCCAGGAGCTTCTTCCAGGTCTCCAATGTGGGCACAGGGGTGCAGAGGCTCAGGGACTCGACCATCTTCTACTGCTTTCCCAGGCCACAGCAGAGAGCTGGTTCGGAAACGGAGCAACTGGGACTCAAACTGATGCCCATATGGGATCCCGGCACTGTAGGTAGCAGCCTTACCTGCTATGCCACAGCGCTAGCCCCCAGCTATCACATTTTAAAATGAAAAGGTTTTAACCAAAACATTTGTTAAGACATTGTTATAAACCTAGAAGAAATCACAAAGCAGAGTCTGTACCAATTCTTTTGGAAAATAGTTAAATGTATCATGTTCTCTAAGCTTCATAAGAACTTTTACAATTTTAGGTAAAATGGATAGCAGGTTTTCTCTTGTGTGTGGAGTCTACTACTTGGCATAAAGTGTGGATGTCATCCTATTTGGTACATAGTTATAAATACTTTCTTCATTGAATTACACTACCCACATGACAATACACTCCTTTTTCCTCACTTTATGATCACTGTCATGAACCCCATGTTATATGATATTAATATCCTTGTTTTCAAGAAAAACTGTATGTGTATATATAGTATCTACATATGAAGTGAATATGGCAAAATGATCTTTAAACATTGACACAATTTTAAAAATAGTGAGTAAAAATACTTCCATTACCTTTCCACATACACTCTTAGAATCACAGCAAACAATGGATATGCTACTGCTTAGTTGTAGATCAAATAGACTCTCATCAGCTCTCTTTTTTTCTGGGACATCCATGGAAAGTTGATAGGAAATTGTTTTTAAATGCTTTGGATCTAATGGGAAAATAATTACATACATGTTTAGCATTTAATAAACCTTTCTTCTAAAGTATAATTCCAAATACCATTACAAACCATTGATTCACCAGAGTTCTTAAGGAAAAAAATGAGGACCATCATTATGTTAGTAAGGGAGTACTTTTGTTAAAACAAAAATGTGAGGAGAGGCACAGGTGTTTTGGCAAAGCAGATTAAGCCACAGCCTGCGACGCCAACAGCCCAGATGGGCACCAGTTTGAGTCTCAGCTGCTCCACTTCTGATCCAGCTCCCCGGTAATGGCCTGGGAAAGCAATGGAAGATAGCCCAAGTGCTTGGGCCTCTGCACCCATGTTGGGAAACCCTGGAAAAGCTCTGGGCTCCTGCCTTCAGTCTGGCCCAGCCCCAGCCATTGCGGCCATTTGGGGAGTGAACCAGCAGTTGGAAGATCGCTCCCTCCCTCTCTCCCTCCCTCTCTCTTTCTTTCTCTCTCTCTAACGATACCTTTCAAGTAAATAAAAATAAACCTTTAGAAAAAAAGTGAGAACATTCTTTGGTTAAAAGAAGAAAAAGATCCTTTTCACTAAATGGCATTTTTTGGCCTTTAGTTTTGGCGAGAAACAGTATCAAGAAACTTACGTAGTATTAGGGATTTAATTACAAAAAAAATGTGTCTTCTCTAGGTATTTTAAAATTTTTATTTAGTTGGGAGGCAGAGAGAGCAGCGTAGGTCTCCCGCGTGAGTGCAGGAGTTCAACCGTGGGAAGCGTGACTGCTGCCTCCCAGGGGCTTCACTGGCAGGAAGCTGGAGCAGGGATCCGGAACCAGGAGCTAGAGCCTGCAGCGGAACCCAGGCACTCCAGGGCGGGGTGCAGGCACCTTAACCGCTGGGCTACCCTCCTGCTCCCTAAGTGTTTGTTCAATAACTGAGCAGTAAAGGAGGAGCCTGGTGCTCAGAAAGGTTAAGTAATTTACCCAAAATCAGACAGCCTGTAAGAAGAAAAGCAAGGATACAAATTCTAGACTTCTGAGATTTGTTTTTTTTTGTTTGTTTGTTTGAAATGCAATAAACACAGAGAGAGAAACATTTCATACACTGGTTCACTCCCCAAATGACCACAATGGCCACTGCTGGGCCAGGCTGAAGCCAGGAGCTGGGAACTCCATCCAGGTCTCCTACATGGGTAGCAGGGGCCCGCTTCGGTCATCTTCCTCTGCTTTCCCAGGCACGTTAGCAGGGCGCTGGTTAGGGAGTGCAGCAGCCGGGAATCTAATCGGCACCTGGGTATGGGATGCTGTCATGGGAAGCAGTGGCTTAACCCGCTGAGCCACAACACGAGCAGCACCTTCTCCTACAATGATTCTCCAACTGTACCAGTACTACAGTTATACTGGCCAGTCATACAATGATTCTCCAACTGTACCAGTGCTACAGTTATACTGGCCAGTCATACAATGATTCTCCAACTGTACCAGTACTACACAGTTATACTGGCCAGTCATACAATGATTCTCCAACTGTACCAGTGCTACACAGTTATACTGGCCAGCCAACCGACAAAACCAGTATATGAAGAAAGTAATCTGATTGATTTTTGACATTTTCCAGACCCAAATTTGAAAACAAAATGGAATGTGTGCGTAATCAAACAGGAGCTGATGAACTTGAAAACTCTGCGGCCTTCTATGAAGTGCTCTATAAATGTTGCTAGTTGAATTCAATCAATAATAACAATTAGATGAAGACTAAGAACGCCACAATCCAGATGCCTGAAACACCAGATTTTCTGACCCACTTTGAGTAATGCTTAGAAGTGAAAATTTTCAATATTTTTATAATGTATAGATTTTATCTCTTTTTCAAACATCTTTCTGATGCTGCACAGCTAGTCTATAATATCAGCAGTGATAAACTCACCTTCAGATAAATTTGTGTATTCAGCTTTTTTTGCAAAATTTTTGGCCATTTGTTGCTCTTGTTTTCTACAAAATCAAAAAAACATGGATCAATCAGAGAAGTGGTTTAAACTTAAAATAGAATATACAAATTGTTTTAATCCTTTTACATTTTTATCTGTTATTACTTGTGAATCCAGCCTATCAGGACACAGAGGGTCCCTACTCTGCTTACTGGACACATTTCTCCAACATAGGACTGCTGAATTATCCTGCTAGTTCAGAGTTCATAAACTACCACTTTTGGTCAGTGAGATCACTGATTTTCTGAGAGCTTTTCAATCTCATGAAATCTGCCAGGCACTGTCATCTGTTTGCTTTGGCCAATTTTTACTTCTTCACAGGGAACACAACTTCAAAATGACACATTCTTAAAGACCAGGGTTCATCGCGCAGGGGGCTCTTCCGCGAAGCTGGCCGGTGGCAGGCCCCCTGTTACCTCCGCAGGGCCTTCTCCTTTGCCTTGAGTCTATCAACTTCACTGCCATGAGATTCGTGGGGGTCGATGCAGATTAATTCAAGATCAGGGCTTTTGTCTCTCTGGTTTTCCTCGTAGATGTAGTCAATCAGATTTTGGAAACGGAGACAACAGGAGGCCTGAGAAACAAAGAGGTCATTTCCTATCATTAGCCCTAGATGAAGATGATCAGAGGGAGCAGGCGCCACACACAATTAAATGGGGGTTGGATACCGCTCTATCATCACTTCTTTTTTCTTTCTGGTAACAGCTTTATTGAGATATAATTCACATCCCACACAATCCACTCTTACAAAAAAGGTACAGTTCCTTGGTTTTTAAGTATGTTCACAAAGTCAGCACAGTCAATTTTAGGACATGAAACCTCTAGCTATTAACAGTCACTTCCCTTCCGTCTCTCCTCCCAGACCCTCAGCAACCACAGATCTGCTCTCTGCTTCTCTAGGTTTGCGTATTTTGTACAGTTCCTATAAGTGGAATCATAAAACATGTGGCCCTTTATGACTGGCGTATTTCACTTAGCAAAATGTTCTCAGGGTGCATCCACATTGTATTACATTTCACTACTTCAGCTTTCATTTTTTGGATGACTATATTTCATTCTATGAATTACCACTCTTAGTTTATTCATTAATCAGTTAATGGACAATTAGGTTCTTTCCACTTTGTGGCCATCATAAATGATACTGTTATGAACACTTATGCATAAGGTTTTGTATGGATCTATGTTGTCAACTTTCTTGGGTACAGATGGGGACTTCAAAAAGTTCATGGAAAATGGAATGAAATAAGTTTATTTTGGTGCAAAAATTTTTGACATTTATGCATATAAGGAGTCTTCAAAAAGATCATGGGGGCAGGTGTTTGGCAGAGTGCTTACCATATCTCTTGGGATGCTGGTATTTCCCATCAGAGTGTCTGGTTTAAGGTCCAGCTCTACTTCTGATTCTAGCTTCCTGCTAATGTGCACACTGGGAGATGGCGGAGATGGCACCAGTACTTGAGTCCCTGCTACCCATGTGAGAGACCTGGATTAAGTTCTGGGTGCCCGGCTTTGGCCTTGCCCAGCCCCAGCTATTGCAGGCATTTGGAGAGTGAACTAGAGGATGGAGGAGCTCTGTCTGTTCTCTCTGCCTGCTTAAACAGATTTTAAAAGCTCATGAAAAATGCAAATCATGGAAGAAACGCACAGATTTCTGTGTCATTGACAATACTTGTTATTATCCTTATAATTATAGCCATCTGATGGCTGTGAAGTAGTGTCCCATTGTGGGAGTGATTTGCCTCTCCCCAGCAGCTGTCATATAGTTCTTCTGAGAATAGCAATGCAGGTGAAAGATACAAGAGAAAATACTACATGTGTTTCAAAATAGTGTTTATATAAAAAAAACTTCCTCATTAAACCTGTTTCAAAACTCACATGTTTTTTTGGTTCAGTGCATCTATAGTCAGAGTAAATGTCCAAATTGGAAAGAAATGCTTTTAGGTCGCTTCCACAAAATTCACACTCAGGCGATTGCTCCTCCTCTTCTTCCTTCAGAGAGAGAGAGAGAGAGAAGTGAAGTGGTCCCAGGAGGCCCGGCAGCTGTGAGAGCAGCAGGAGCAGGCCCTGGGCAGGGCCGGTGAATGTCCCGTGGGACATCAGGAGGATGAGTGAGGTGCCAACTTGCTTGTGAACCCTCAGACACCGCGGGCACTCCCAGAAATACTTGGTGGGGAACTTTCAGAGGCTAAGGTTTTAGAAGGCACTAAGCAGCGAGATCAGTGATTCCAGAGTATGCCAGGCAAGCACACACTGGGTTTTCTGCAGAGGGTCTTCTTTTAAAAAGGGAGTCTTCTTTTAAAAAGGGCCAGATAAGAAAGCGCCCTGCGCCCAGTGTTGTGGTTGAGCAGTGGCCCCTTGGGATGCCTGCACTCCGAATTGGAGTGCCTGGGTTCCAGTCCCCCTCCACTTTCTTTTTTTTTTTTTTAAAAATGTATGTAAGTTATATAAGTTTCATGTATTTTATATAAACATATTTAGAAACAGCGATACTCCCTACCCACACTCTCACCCTTCCTCCTCCCTCTCCCATTCCCGCTCTTACTTTTTACAGAGATCTGCTTTCAGTCCCACTGACTCTCAGCTCCCCTTCCTGTGAGGCAGCATGATGACCCAAGTACTTTGGTCCCTGCAGCACATGTTGGGTAACTGCATGAAATTCCTGGCTCTTAGCTTTACTAAGCTCTTGCTTTGCCCAGCTCTTGCCCAGCCCTGGCTGTTGCGGGCATTTGGGGAGTGAAAAAATAGATGGAAGATCTCTCTTTCTCTGCGTGTTACTGTCCCTTTCAAATAAATAAATAAAACTTCTCTCTTTCTCTCTCTTTTTAAAATTTATTTGACAGGCAGAGTTAGACAGTGAGAGAGAGAGAGACAGAGAGAAAGGTCTTCCTTCCATTGGTTCACCCCCCAATGGCCGCTATGGCTGGAGCTACGCCGATCCGAAGCCAGGAGCCAGGTGCTTCCTCCTGGTCTCCCATGTGGGTGCAGGGCCCAAGCACTTGGGCATCCTCCACTGCACTCCCTGGCCACAGCAGAGAGCGGGCCTGGAAGAGGGGCAACTAGGACTAGAACCCAGCACCCATATGGGATGCAGGCACCGCAGGTGGAGGATTAAACAAGTGAGCCATGGTGCCGGCCCCCTTTTTTTTTTTTTTTTTGTAACAGAGAAAGTCTCATAACTACCATGTAGGCCACCATGTACAACCAGTAACTCCATAGCATAAATGAGAGTCCTTTCTCAAAGGGATCTGCAGGTTGCAGCTCTGAAATTTCCGTGTGCTGTGATGGCACAGGGATGCGGTGGGGGAGGGGAGGGCCAGTGACTCAGTGAGGGGCTGATATGTTGTGACTGTTCCAGTGATCAGAGGTAGTGTCTGTGATGGCAATGTCCTGGCCAGGCAAGCAGCCTGGGCTCAACAGTGGCCTCCAGGAAAAGACCCAGATCTGAGCTCCACCAGGGCAGCTGCATTGGCCATGGAAACCATCTTCTTGGTTTTTTTTTTTTTAAAGATTTATTTTATTTATTTGAAAGGCAGATTTACAGAGAGAGAAAGACAGAGGTCTTCCATCTGCCGGTTCACTCCCTAAATGGTGGCAATGGCCAGGGCTGGGCCAGTCGAAACTAGGAGCCCAGAGCTGCTTCTGTGTCTCCCATATGGGTTCAAGGGCCCAACTACTTGGGCCATCCTCCACTGCTTTCCCAGGCCATCAACAGAGAGCTGGATAGGAAGTGGAACAGCAGGGTGAACCTTGAACTGCTCACACCCATATGGGATGCCAGTGTCACAAGTGGAGGCTTAACCTACTATGCCACAGTGCTTGTCCCAGGAAATCATCTTCTGAGAGTGACAAAAATGCCCAACATGGAGCTAGAGATGGCCAGTTCAGTCAGGATTTCACTATCCCAGAGTAACATCTACTGTTTTTGTTGTTGTTGTTGTTGTTGTTATTTATTTTTTGACAGGCAGAGTTAGACAGTGAGAGAGAGAGAGAGACAGAGAGAAAGTCTTCCTTCCGTTGGTTCACCCCCCAGATGGCTGCTATGGCTGGTACGCTGCGCCGATCCGAAGCCAGAAGCCAGGTGCTTCCTCCTGGTCTCCCATGCAGGTGCAGGGCCCAAGCACTTGGGCCATCCTCCACTGCCTTCCCGGGCCACAGCAGAGAGCTGGACTGGAAGAGGAGCAACCAGGACAGAATCCAGCACCCCAACCGGGACTAGAACCCAGGGTGCCAGCGCCGCAGGCAGAGGATTAGCCTAGCGAGCTGTGGTGCTGGCCAACACCTATTGTTTTTAAGTCATTGAATCCACCCAACAGAGACTACTGCACACTGCTGAAAGCAGAATGCTTGGAGAGTAAAGTCTTGTGATAGAGAATCGTGATGAAAAGTCCAGCACAGCTGTTACATGATGGAGCAGGGCAGAAAGAGAGCTTAGCAGTGCCAAGCCCTCTATGAGCTGTTCCCTACAAGGAACCTGGTAGTGACCACCTCAGCTCATAGCCCCTTCACTTTACCTAGGGGTGAAGCAAGATGGACATGCTTCCGTAGACTACGAGCCGGGATTGGAATCCACACCTGAAGAGGCTGTGGCTGGAGAAGGAGCTGGGATGCAGGTGCTGCTGTCCCTGAATTGGACTAGCATCAACCCTACCTCTGCAAGGGTTGCCTGGGAAGCCAGAGGAGCCATCGCAGGGATGTTTCCCCGCAGGAGAGGCCACAAGGCCTTTCTCATGTTCAGGTCCATTTCAGGGTATCAGGGAAAAAAAGACAGCTCGAGAGACTTCTCAGGATAGAAGAAAACAAATTCCAGCTCATAGGCAGGCATTTAGCCTAGGGGTTAAGACACTGGTTAAGATGCCTGTATCAGGCTGGCACTGTGGCGCAGTAGGTTAATCCTCTGCCTGCAGTGCTGGCATCCCATATGGGTGCTGGTTCGAGTCCCAGCTGCTCCACTTCTGATCCAGCTCTCTGCTATGGCCTGGGAAAACAGTAGAAGATGGCCCAAGTGCCTTGGGCCCTAAACTGCCTGAGAGACCCAGAAGAAGCTCCTGGCTCCTGACTTCAGATCAGCCCAGCTCTGGCCTTTGCAGCCATTTGGGGAGTGAACCAGCAGCACATGGAAGACTTTTCTCTCTGTATCTCCCTCACATTGTAACTCTACCTCTCAAATAAATAAGAAAAATGTTTTTTTAAAAAATGCCTGCATCACGGTAAAAAAAAATGAAATTCTGTCATTTGCAACAAAATGGATGAAACTGGAAACAACATACTTAGTGAAATAAGCCAGTCTCAAAAGGACAAATACCATATGTTCTCCCTGATCTGTGGTAACTAATGGAGCACCTGAAATGTAATCTATATAAGTGAAATTGACACTTTGAGATGAGATGACTTTGAACAGCCCTTGTCTTGACCGTTGAGTGGCAGGTTTTTTTTTTTTTTTCATACAATTTGTTGAACTCTTTACTTAGTATAGAGTTAATCATATGTGTATAAAGTTGATTGAAAATAGATATTAGTAAAAAATAAGAATGGGAATAGAAGGAGGGGTGGGAGTGGGAGTGGGAGGGCGGATACAGTGGGAAGAATCACTATATTCCTAAAATTGTGTTTATGAAATGCATGAAGTTTGTATTCCTTTTTAAAAAAAGATTTATTTATTTATTTGAATGCCAGAGTTACACAGAGAGAGAAGGAGAGGCAGAGAGAGAGAGAGGTCTTCTATCCGCTGGTTCACTCCCCAGTTGGCCACAATGGCCGGAGCTGTACTGATCTGAAGCCAGGAACCAGGAGCTTCCTCCAGGTCTCCCACATGGGTGCAGGAGCCCAAGAATTTGGGCCATCTTCTACTGCTATCCCAGGCCATAGCAGAGAGCTGGACCAGAAGTGGAGCAGCCAGGACTCAAACTGGTGCCCGAAGTTTGTATTCCTTAAATAAAAGGTTTCTGGGGAGAGGGGGAAGATGCCTGCATCACATTTTGAAGAGCCTGAGTTTGAGACCTGGCTCTGGTTCCTCATTCCAGCTTCCTGCAAGTGTAGACTCTGCGAGGCAGGGTAGCTCAAGGAGTTGGGTCCCTGCCACCCACGTGGGAGACCTAGAATGTGTTTCCAGCTTCTAGCTTTCTCTCCAGTCCAGCCCTGACCATTGTGGGCATTTAGAGAGTAAATCAGCAAATGGGTACTCTCTCTCTCTTTCTTTCTCTTTCAAATAAATAAAATAAATTCATTTAAAATAACACTGCTAGAAATATTTTCATCTTGAGTCTGTAGGGTGATCAGAAAGTTTGGAAACCTAGCTAACTATGTATTGATTTTACATTACATGAATATTTAATGTGTTGCCTCATCAGAATTGCATAGTTCAGTGTGCTGTACAAAGTGTCAGTGAACACCACCGTAATGCAGCCACAAAGTCTTTCCCCCAGTCCATGCACATGCATCTGACACCTGCTGTCTCTCATGGTGTCTCTTATTGTCAGTGTATAAACCTCTCCCTTAACGCACCCCAGAAGAAGTCAAGGATTCAGATCCGGGGAGTGTGCAATTCTCCCCACAGGGCTAGGGGTCCAAACTAGGTTTGAAAACAGCCATTCCACCAATACGTCAACACACATGAGTCTGGTGTAGGGGCTGGTGCACTATCTCTAGGAATTATGGAAGTGACGAACAGTCACCCTTGCAGGTGTTAAATCATCACATTCTGTAACTGGGTGTGGCAAACATTCACCTGTGTTTCCAGGCTCTGTGGCCACAGTTATTGGTTGAATTGTGTCCCCAAAAAAGATATGTTGAAGTCCTAAGCCCTGATACCTGTGAACGTGACTATGTTTGGAAATACTTGTACGGTCTTTGCAGATGTCACCAGGTTAAAATGAGGTTATTAGAGTGGGCCCTAATCTGGTAAGATGGGTGTCCTTAGGTAGGGGGACGTTTGGACACAGGGAACGCCAGGACAGCTGAGGCAGCTCCACAGGAGGCAGCAGCAAGCAGAGGAATGCCAAGGACGGCCGACTACCACCAACGCGAGGAAGGGCCAGGACAGATCTTACAGCATCGGCCCTGTCCAGACCTTGATTTTCCACCTCTGTCCCCTCTTGCTTCCATTGGCTTAGGCCATCCAGTTGCTGGTGCTCTGTTTCACATCTATGGAGACTGAAACAGCCACCCTAGGTGTTATTCCAAATGAATGAGCTCTCCGCTGTTTTTTTTTTTTTTTCTTTAAAATATGTTTAACATCCATGGTGCACATCATGATGGGGCTTTTAGGTTAATTTTTTAGAATAATAATGCAAACTGTGGATTGAAATTACCTTGAAGTTAATGTCTAAGTTGGAAGTCTCCTTTTTGTATGCCAGAATGGGCGGCAGCCCGATGCTGGGTAATGTTCTTAGAGAAGGCTCAAAGAGTGTCATGAAGTCTTCCTGAAACTAAATCAGAAACACGCACACAGAAGCCGAGGAGTGAGCACGCTTTTCTACAGTGAGAACAGTGTACAGGCTGATGTACTGAACACTTCTTACCTCTAGCTCATTTAAAATATTGAGTTTTGACTCTTCTGGGTTAATCACCCATTTTGCTGAAGAGAAAGGATACATTTAGCAGGAGAGCTTAAAACCTTTGTGCTGTGAACTTCATTTTCTCTGGTTTTCCTGGCCACCCCACGCTCTTAGCCCACCCCAGACTCACTGTTGAGAGATCCTGACCCCTGCATTTCTGCACACATTCTTGCAACAGTGCTCCTCAGGGCAAGTTAAGGCTGCTTTCCCCACTGGTAACTGGCCTTTGCCAGCAAAAGGGGGACGAGGCCCAGCACCCGTTTACCTCTTAACTTAGCAGCCTGGCTTTCAGGTTCAGCTTCCTTCTCTGCCTGGGCTTTCTTCTCTGTAAAGAGAGTGTATGTTTGTCATCAATCTTGACAAAACAGAAAAGGAGTGAGATACACAGGAGGAAATACATGGCTCACACAGATAGATGTCCTGACAGTGTTTGTTTCTGCCTTTTCCCATTAACATTGTGCCAACAGTAAGGATCGGAGGAAGTTCACCACACTCTGCATCACATGTAAAATTGCTTCCCCATTCCTTTTTTCTAAAGCAGATTTACTTATTTATTTGAAAGGCAGAAATACAGAGAGAGAAGGGGGGAGACAGAGAAAGAGAGAGAGAGAGAGAGAGAGAGAGAGAGAATCTTCCATCCACAGTTCACACCCCAAATGGTCATAAGGGCTAGGGCTGGGTCAAGCTGAAGTCAGGAGCCAGGAGCTTCCTCTGGGTCTCTCACCTGGTTTCATGGGACCAAGCACTTGGGCCATCTTCTGCTGCTTTCCTGGCTGCATTAGCAGGGAGCTGGATCAGAAGTGGAGCATCTGGGACTTGAACCAGCATCCATATGGGATGCTAGCACTGCAGGCAAAGGCTTAACCTTCCCTATTTCTTTCTAGCCCTAGGCTACTACTAGGAATATTTTAATTGTTTATAATATTTTAATTGTTTTGTGCTTTTTTAAATTAAAAAATATGTATTTTATTTGAGAAGCAGAGAGAGAGTGAGCGAGCGAGCTCCCATGCATTGTTTCACTCCCCAAATTCCCACAAGCTGGGACTGGACTAGGCCAAAGCTGGGAGATGGGAACTCAGTCCTGGTCTCCCATATGAGTGGTAGTTGAGCCATCACCTGCTGCCTCCCAGGGTCTGCCTTGGTGGGAAGCTGGAATGGGAGCCAGAGCTGGAATCAGATACAGGCACAGATATGGCACTCAGGCACCCTAACAGATGTCTTAACCACTAAGCTACACACCCATTCTTACTTTCTGCTTATTAGAAGTGCCACATGTCTACTCTATGCCTGTTTTTCTGATAGGTTTTTTTCAGGTAAGGGAGTTCTAGGGGTGGGTAGGGGTCCAGTTCAAGATAGTGAATCAAACCACCAGGATTACAGCCTCTGTAGATTCCAGAGAGGCAATGGAAATGAAGAGAAGGCCATCAACACATCCACAACTTTGAACAAATGTCTGAAAGATTTAAAACAAGTGGGATTGGCATGAAGAAAAACTAATCAGAGCAGCCTCCAAGTCCAGAGGCAAAGGAGGGGGCTACTGAGATGTAAGGGACCTATTTTCTCAGGAGTTCAAGTTTGCTGTTGGGGAGAGAGGCTTCAGAAAGTTATCCATGTGGGGTGTGTGTAGGTGTGTGTATGCATGTGGGCAGTGTGATGTGAAGAATCTGAAAAAAATTTAAACCTGTATTAGGCATCTTGTCCAACAGAAATGCCATGCACAAAGATTTTCACTAAAACTTATTTACCATAAGTACTGCTTCTCTTTCAATTAACAATTCTGTCTTGAAGTCATCTCTCTCTCTTTTCTTTATAAGCTTACAAAAGCAGCCAAACTGCACCTTCAACACTTATTTTAGAAATTTTTCAGCCAGATATCTAACAAGCTAGTTGTACCTCCCACAAAACACTGGAACAGAAGCACGGTTCCCCCGAGTTCCTTGTCACTTTATGACACGGCTGGCCTTTCCTCCACTGTCCAACAATACGTTCTTCATTCCCGTCTGAGACCACGTCGGAATGCTCTTAACCATGCGTAGCGTTACTGTTCTGATCTTGACCACTCAGACGTTCTCTAGGAATAGAAGGCTTTCTGCACAGCTTTCTTTTCCTGAGCCCTCAGGAGAATTGATTATATGCAATAAGATACAGTATAATTTCCACCTACCCTACTGTCAAAAAATTTAAAAGAATGACAGCACCAAGTATTGGGAAGGGTAGGGAAAAAGAAACCTCAGTATCTCTCTTTTAATAGAAACATACATGGAGTTAGCACTTAGGGAAGGTGATGATTAAAATGCGTAACTTTTCACCCAATAATACCACTTTATTGGCACCTGTCTTAGAGAAATTCTTGGATGCACACACACACACACACACAAAGGAGTAAACAGTGTAACACTGTGGAAGTGAGAATGTGGGGAGTGACTTTATGTATTGGCTGAGAGTCTTTAAAGTTTTAAATTCTGAGAGAGAGAGAGCGAGAGCGAGAGCGAGCGAGAGAGAGAGTGCGCTTCTATCTGCTCTTCACTTCCCAAATGTCTGCAACAGCCAAAAACCAAGCCAGGCAGAACCAGGAGCTAAGAACTCAACCCAGGTCTCCCGTGTGGGTGACAGGGAAGTGGTGTTCCGAGCCACTCAGGCTATCACCTGCTCCCCGTCATGATCTGCATCGGTAGGAAGCTGGAATCTGGAACCTGAGGTCGGAACTGATGTGGAACTCCAGTACGGAGTGTCGGTGTCTTCATCAGTATCCTCACTGCTAGGCCGAATACCCTTCCTGGGAATCTATAAAGAACTGCACATCTAACAACTGCACATCCATTCTACACACTGTTGTGCAACAATTGAAAGGATCGAGGAGGATCTGTATGTACTGACCTGATAAAATTTTCAAAGTGTGTTATTTAGTGGAAAAGCAAGCAGAACAACACATTCGGTGGGATACCATCTATGTAAATAAAAACCAAAAAGGACCAAACTACTGCCTGTACTTCTGTGAGTATATGGGTAGAAAAGCTTAGGAAAGAAATACACCAACAGGATCATAGTGATGACTTCTGAATTTGGGGGTAATGGTCAAAAGAATCAATTTTACTTATTTTTACTAAAAAAAAAGACTACATTTCAGTATACGATTATACCATTAAAAGCTTACCAGTGAAATGGAAATGGAGGGCATGATTCCATTTCTGCTCTGTACTTATTTCAATTCCCTGCTCCCCCTGTCCCTTGAGATCATCCAATCAGCTGTCTATCGCCATAGAGGCAGGTGCTATGGGCATCACCCTAGATCTACCAGTCAGCCCTAGGTCCTCACCTCCATGGCTTCTAAGTGACCTTTGACCCAGCTATCATTCCCTGCTCATTAAGACACTTGCTTTCTTTTTTATTTTTAAATGATTATTGATATAATTCAGTTTATTATATAATCATAATATTTATTTCTTTTAATTCCATATTTTGTCATCCCATCCTGCTTTATTTTTGATTACTATTTTATTTATTTGGAAGAGTTACAGAGGGAGGTAGATACAGAGAGAGAGAGAGAGAGAGAGAGAGAGAGAGATCTTCCATCTGCTAGTTCACTCCCCAGATGGTCACAATAGCCAGAGCTGAGCTGATCTGAAGCCAGGAGCCAGGAACTTCCGGGTCTCCCACGTGGGTGCAGAAGCCCAAGCACTTGGACCATCTTCTACTGCTTTCCCAGGCCATAGCAGAGAGCTGGATCTGAAGTGAAGCATCCAGGACTTGAACTGGTGCCCATATGGGATGCCGGTGCCGCAGGCCAGGGCTTTAACCCCCTGAGCCACACCGCCGGCCCCATTATGCTTCCTTTCTTGGCTTCCAGGACCCTTTACTGGATTTCCTTCTGCATCACTGGAAGCTGTTCTTAGTCTCCATCTCGTGTACCTGACTTCACAAAGCAGTGCCCCAAGGCTCCATCCTTGGACCCTTGCTCCTTCGCCAACTTTCCTGAGCCGTCAGTCGTCATTAAAATTCGCTGGAGAGCGTCATTCCTCTGCGCCCCCCTCCAGGGACTTCTCACTTCACTCCCAGGGAGATGTGGTCCTCACTGTTTCCGCCGTCTCATCCCCTGGGATCCTCCTGCTGCCACAGTGGCCTCCTTACTCTGGAAGGAGGCCCTCACTGTTCCCCTGGCTGGCTCATTCTCTCACTTCCTTCAGGTTTTTTCTAAAATACTGCAGCTTCCCAGAGATTGCCCTGCACACCCCATGTGAGCTAAGAGTCCTTCCGCGCTGACACTCCACCCCCTTCCCTGATTTTTCTCTTTTGTACTTATGTCATTGAATGTATTATGCATATACTTACTTATTTTGTGTGTTATTTATCTCACCCTTACCTCCACCTCTCACACTGTAAGATTACTGAGGCACAAGATCTAATCGCTTTGCTCACTGCTGGTTTCCTAGAACAGGGCTTGGTGGATGGTGGGTATTCAATAAGCATTTGCTGAATCAGTGCCATAACATAAAACCTGATATAGAGGTTGGACAGAAAGGCTTCTCATAATTATTACACCTGAGGAATATGTGGGCATATGTTAAATTTTTAAATTTTTACATTATGTCTTAATGGTTTGATATTTACAATGTACATACAAGGGAGCCTATATTTTTTTTAAAGTTAAAGGCAGAGTTACAGAGAGAGAGAGAGAGGAAGAGACAGCAAGAGAGATCTTCCATCCACTGGTTCAGTCTCCAAATGGCCACAATGGCCAGTTCTGGGCAAAGTGGAAGCCAGGAGTTTGGAACTCCATTCTTCATCTCCCACATGGGTACAAGGGCCCAAGCACTTGGCCCATCTTCCACTGCTTTCCCAGGTGCATTAGCAGGGAGCTAGGTCAGAAGCCGAGCAGCTGGCTTGAGCTAGTGCTCCAGTATAGGATGCTGGCAAGGCAGGTGGTGCCACAACACTGGCCCCACCAAGGAGCTTCAGAATGTTCATAGAAGAATGGAAGGAAAAGATAAGTGGGGACAAGTGTTTAGTGTGGTGGTTCAGACTGGGTTTGAGTTCCTGCTCTGCTCCCATTGCTAGTTTCCTGCTAGTGTACTTCCATGTGGGAGACCTGGATTGAGTTCTGGCTCCTGGCTTCAGCCTGGCCCAGGCTTGGCTGGCGCAGGTATCTGGGGACTGAACCAGCAGAGGGGAGCTCTGTCTTCCAAATAAATAAAATTAAATTAAAAATATATTGTGCATTTTCTATGAATTTTTTGAAGTCCTCTTGTATATCATTTCTGTAATAAGAAAATAAAGGTATGTATATGTATATGTATGTATGCCAAGAAAATAAAGGTATGTATTATTTCTTGATGTGAGCAGAAACACTACCATTTGTCAATAGTAATGCCGTGGTGTTTAGAAGTGCAATCTCATTCTGATCCTCATAGCAACACCGTGATAATGTGACTGTTACCAAGAGAAACAGATTCAGGGAGGTTAAGCAGCTTGCCCAGTGTCATTGTACTGGGGTTGGGATTCAAACCTAGATCTCCTGACCTTCCACAACTGTGATGTTTCCAGTGCACAGGCCCACCTCCTGGCCAGAGCTAAGAAATCAAACTACTCACGTGTGTGCTTTTTATCAGCCAGTTCTTGAAGCCAGCTTTCTTCTGTTTGAACTGATGTTTCAATTCCCGGATACAAATTCTGATAAAGAGCACTGAAATTTAAGCACAATATTAGTTTCCAGTATATACATATGGTTGTTAGCAAGTCTTCTAAATACAGTATGTTTGACAATCAAATAACAAGTGCACTCGGAAGATCCTAATTCTATGTTCTCTGAAATATTTTCTTACATTCTTATTTCTTCTGTAACACTAGGCACAGTGCATTTGCATCACATCTATTCTTTGGAAAGTATTCCTTTCTAAATCCCACAGGCTCCCAGTACCATATCATCTCCCTCGGGTGGTGAATTACTACTACTGTGTCTGTGTGAGGGTGGTGGTGGTTGTAGTAGTTACTTGAACTTAAACTGTTCACTTTCAACAGCTTAAAAATACTACAAACTTTTAAAAGAGCTGTTAAATGTATTGTAATTAGCCTATTATCTTTATAAGTAGTTATTTATTAATGATGCAATAGGAAAGTAGACATCTGCTGACTTTACTAATTAAAATAAGTCTTACATGATAATAAGGAAACAATATTGCCTTTAAAGCTTCTTTGCCTCTTTGAATTTCAAGTTTTTGAATAATTTGTTGGATCTTGAAACATTACCATGTTTATTTGGTTTGGGATCGCTAGCTTTTCACCTTTCTCAGTTCTGTCATGTCTCCACCTTTCTTTTTCATACTTCATCCCATGGCTCCAGGAGATCCAGCCCAATTGGTCTGAGCCTACCAAGGCAGCCACAGGTGGGACTTGAAATCCAGGAAATCTGTAACAGGGTAACTTTCCAGGTGATAATTTTGTATGGCCTGGCAGTGCTGTTATGAAGATCCAAATTGTCCTTGGCAGAAAGATGTCCCCTGCTCCTGCCCTTGCTTCATTGCATCAGTGAAGTGCTCTGTTTTGTTTTTCATCCTGAAATGAGTGTGTCTTCTAGCAGGGGAAGAACTTCTCTGCGGAGGCCACCTGTGCCAGTCTCTGGGGGATTCCTGTTTATCTCACCTCCCAGAGAAATAAGTTATGGGGATGCCAAGTTAAGAGGCATTAAAGAGGAATCCCTAGACAACATTTAATGTTTTTGTTTTCCAAATCAATGGTTAACAAAATCAATATATTATTTGGTTAGATATCTACCTTCCTTAAACCAACACCAGAGACTGTTTCTGAAATTCTGTGTAAAGATGGAAGACAGAAAGAAGATTATAACAAAATTTAACATTTACTGAGAAGGTACTACCCAGTGTGTTGTGTGTGTATACTATATATATATATAGTAGTTACTTGATATATGTAACTTCATTTATCTCTAGAAAAGGAAATCAAAGAAACTATTAACATTTCCTTTCTGCAGGCAAGGAAACTGAATATCATGGAGATTAGAGAACCTTTCAAAAATCACAGGGGTCCTTGTTTGGCTCCAAAACCTGTGTTTCTCCACATTTCTCTGCCTCTTAAAGATTGCCTAATTGACTACCAAAATAGTAGTACAACAATGAAAAATAGAAGTTGCCCAACATTGATTGCATTTTAATGAATTTTTAGGACATATTTATTTGAAAACACTCATAATCTCACCAAATTCACCAGAGATTGCTTTCAAATATAAAAACACTTTTTAAGGAAGATTTGTAGTGAGGAAGTAGGGACTTTGATCTTGGAAAGAGGCTCCCACAGATTAGAAATCATGTAATAGGCACTTCCAGGTCAATATGGCAGCTGAACACACAATCCTCCTCTGCCTTCCAAGATCTTACTGAACAAACAGCCCCAGAAAACATGAGTAGACAAGTGATACTGAAGAAAAGAAAGCCTTACAAGGAAGAAAATAATAAGTGGCTGTAGGCTGATGGAAAAGCAGAGCAGAGTATGCCACAGCTCATGACGAGAGAGGTAAGGAAGGTTTTTCCAAAGGGAATCCCTGAGAAGTTTCCATAGCCACTCAACCAAACACAGCGAGGAAGGATCTGGGGACTCGTCTGAGCAGTTCAAGGAGTAAGCTTGGGACAGCTGGCCAGGCAGGCCCTCGTCTCTCCCCTTCTACAGGCAGATGGCAGCAGCTGTCTTTACTTACAAAGGAGAAAACAGTGGGCAACCTTCCTGGGGAGATGTTAGCCCTGAAAGAGAAGCAGGCAGAGTATGACTTGCTTGGGGTTTGCCCAACAGGGTTGGGTGTGAAAGGAGGGACATTGCACTCACGAACAACTCCAGCCATACACAAAAAGTATCCTTGTCCTAACTCCGGTAATAGTAGGGGTCCCAGCTGGACTGTTTCCTACCCAGACACTGCAGGAAGCTGGCCTTGATATGCTCCACCCAGCTGCACAAGGCTTCTAATAAACACTTGCCTGCCAGGCCTGCCTGGAAGCAGGACCACTCAGTGGCAGGAAGCTTCCATTCGAGCTTCCTTCCATTCACCTACAAACATGAATGGAAAACCAAGGATTACCAGTTACTTAAGGGGAGCCAATACCATGGAAGAGGAGGAGCAAGATAAACAAACCTAACAATTAACCCTTAGAGGAAAAAGAACCAAGATAAAGAACAAAGGAGAACTTTATAGTATAGCACCTTCAAATAGATGAAGCACACACACACACCAAACTATTTTGAACAGCATCCATCTGAGAACAAGAACTGATTATTGGAAATTATAAATAGGAATTCCCAAATAAAAAAAATTCTGTGCACAGGCTACATGCACACAAATGTCATAAAGTTTGAAGATATGAAACATATAAAGACAAAATTGTGAAACAGAATCTGTCTAAGAGACCCGTCAGCCACTAGTAGGAGTTCTGAAGGAAAGGAGAGGCAACGAAGGGCAGGAAACACTCGACTCTGAGAAAGGTGTGAGAAGCAGACTGGTCAGAGAAACTGGACACGAGTAGGCAAGGAAGCAAGACCTGCAGAGCTTTGAGGGAAAATGGCTTTAAACCTGTTCTCTTACACTCATTCATATTATATTCAAAGGCATATTTATTTATTTAAAAGGCAGAGTTATAGATAGAGAGGGAGGGAGGGAGGGAGATACAGAGAGAGAAAAAGATCTTTCATCTGCTGGTTCACTCCCCAAATGGCTGCAATGACCACAATGGCCTGTGGCTGGGCCAGGCCAAAGCCAGGAGCCTGGAACTCCATCTGGGTCTTCCATATGGGTGGCAGGAGCCCAAACACTTGGACCACTTTTCGTTATTTTCACAGCTGAATTAGCAGGGAGCTGGTGCTATTATGGGATGCCGGCATTGCAGGTGGTGGCTTAACCTGCAGTGCCAGCCCCAAGACTGGTTTGTATTATTAATAAAATATGAGGGCAAATGAAGAAATCTCCAAGTAGACAGGAACTCAGGAATTTGACTACCTACGAGACCCACAAAAAATCTACAGCATTTTTCTAACAAAAAGAAAAGGAAAAGAATAAAGAAGGTAATATGGGAATCAAGAAAGTGTGGCTATTGAACCCACACTAGAGAAAGTGAAGCCAGCTAAACACAACTGAGAGTTGAAATGTTCACTTTTTAGGAGACAAGTTTTACAGATATAGCATTAAATTTCTTGTCCATGAATCCAATCACATTTCTTTCTTTTTAAAAAAATGTTAATTTACAGGGCAAGTGCTGTGGCGCAGCGGGTTAACGCCCTGGCCTGAAGCGCTGGCATCCCATATGGGCGCCAGTTCTAGTCCCGGCTACTCCTCTTCTGATCCAGCTCTTTGCTATGGCCTGGGAAAGCAGTAGAAGATGGCCCAAGTGCTTGGGCCCCTGCCCCCATGTGGGAGTCCTAGAGGAAGCTTCTGGCTCCTGGCTTCGGATTGGCGCAGCTCCAGCCGTAGCGGCCAGTTGGGGAGTGAACCATCAGATGGAAGACCTCTCTCTCTCTCTCTCTCTCTCTCTCTCTGCTTCTCCTCTCTCTGTGTAACTCTGACTTTCAAATAAATAAATAAATCTTTCTTAAAAAAATGTTAATTTTCATCAGCTCAAAAGAGAGAGCTAGAAAGCGAGTTGCAAGAGGGCAAACACTTTCAACCACTGGTTCATTCCCCTAATACCTGCAACAGCCGGGACTAGGCCATGCCAAAATCAAGTGCCAGGAACTTAGTCCAGGTCCCCCACAAGGATGCAGGGGCCCAAGCACCCGAGCCATCATCTCCTGCCGCACAGGACACGTTAGCAGGAAAATACTCTGGAAGTGGAGCCGGCAGAACAAGAACCAGCTCTCTAACGTGCAACACAAGTGTCCTACAGGGAGGTTTAACCTACTGCGACACAGTGTCTGTCAGTCATACTATTGGTTTCTTTCTTTTTAAAAAAATTATTAATTCATTTCAAAAACAGAATTAGATACACACACACACACACACACACAGATCTTCTGTCTGCTGGTTCACTCTTCAGATGGCCACAACAGCCAGAACTGAGCTAGGCTGAAGCCAGGAACATGGAACTCCATCCAGGTCTCCTACATGGGTGGTATGAGACAAGTTCTCGGGCCATCATCAACTACCTTCCCAGGCATATCAGCAGGAAAGTGGATCAGAGGTGGGGTTTAGCCTACAGTGGAACCAGCATTCTGATAAGGGACACTGGCAGCCCAAATGGCAGCTTAACTTGTGGTGTAACGACACTTACCCCCAATTTTTCACTTTCTACTTGTCATTACTGCTTTTAATTCAAAAGGCAGAGAGACATAAAGAGTTCCCATCTCTGGTTCACTCCCCAAATTTCCAAATCACTGGGTCTGGGCAAGGCTGAGCTGGGAGCCAGGAACTCAGTCCAGGTTCCCATGTGGCAGGAACCCACTTACTTGATCCATCACCTGCCTCCCAGAGTGCATGTTATCAGGAGCAGAGCTGAGACCTGAACCTGGGCACTCCCATGTAGGACACAGGTGTCTTAAGTGACATCTTCATCACTAAGCTAAACGCCTATCTCTATACTTAAATTTTTAAACTATAAATATGTTTAAAAAGTTGAGTTAAAAGGACAAAAATGTATAAGTGGGACAGAACAATTCTGCTTAAAAATCTAAAAGTTGCTTATAAAAGTTCAGGAGCAGTCCTGGTGGTGTAGCAGGGTAAGCCACTCCTACACCTGAGGGTTGGTTGGGGTGTGGTTGCTCTGCTTCTGATCCAGCTTCCTTCCGGTGCACCTGAATAGGCAGTGGATGATGGCCCACATGCTAGGGTTCCTGCCAGCTATGTGGGGGCCTGGGATGGAGCTCCTGGCTTCAGCCTGACCCAGCCCAGCTGTTGTAGGCATTCGAGATTTCCCTACTATGTTCCTATCAAACTGTCTGAAGGCTAACAGCAACAATCAGGAGAGAGAGAGAGCGAGAGCAAGAGCGAGTGAGAACAAGAGAGAGAGAGAAAGGCCACGATTACTTTCCCTCACCAAAGGGTGTACCTGGTCATTCTTGCATGCAGTCTATAGAGACCTATGTTCTAAACTTTCACAGCTCTTCCTAGTCTATAGAGACCTATGTTTTCAACTTCCCAGCAGTTAGTGTCCTCCACATGGGCTTGTATTGTTACATGTGACACCGATAAATTGACATGCTAAGTCTATAGCCATGTAACAAGCTAAATAGACAGGAGCTTTCTAAAGCTTCTAACTAGATTTTTCAAAGCGTTATTGAATTTTTTCTTATTTGAAAGGCAGAGAGAGAGAGAGAGAGAGAGAGAGAGGTCTTCATATGCTGGCTTTCTCCCCAAACGCCTTTAACAGCCAAGGCTATGTCAGGCCAAAGCCAGGAGTCTGGAACTCAATTCCAGTTTCCCCTGTAGGTTCAAGGAGGCAACTACTTGAGTCATCACCCACTGCCTCACAGGGTGTACATTAGCAGGAAGTTGGAATTGGAAGAAGTACTAGGACTTGAACTCAGAACTGTGGAAATGGCAATGTGGGCACCACAAACAGTATCTAACTGCTGGACCAATCACCTGCCCTAGTGTTCATTAAAAAAAAAACAACTTTTTTGAATAAATGGTAAATGCCCTGGGTTATTTGATTCTACTTTCTAGAATGTTTATACACGAGGTAAACATTGTCAGCTTAAAAAACGGTGAAATGAAAAGTGAAAACATTCTCTTACCTATCTAAGTTCGCATCAGACACGTCTTTCCTAAATGTATGAAATATTTTAGGAACACCTGTTGAATGAAGCAGGTAAGCATTTAACCTCTTCCTCTAAACCCGTGGTTCTCAAAAGGGCAGTCTTGCCTGCCGCCCTGCCCACCACGCCCCGGAGAAGCAGTGTCTGGGTGTGTGTGTGTGTGTGAGCAGCTGCCAGAGACGCAGCTACACTTTCTGTTACGCACAGAACTGGCCCCTGTCCTCGCCCCAACCAAGAACTTTCCAGAGCAAAACGTCGAAACCCGGGAGCCTGAGAAAGCGCGCTAACTGTCCTGCCTGTCTTTTCAAGGGACTGTGGTGATTCCCGGGAGGGAAGTTAGACACACCAGGGAGGAGCTGTGCATCTTTGCAGGGCTGTCTAGTAGCACAGCATCCTTAAGGTATTACTGCTCTCAGGAGTGACACGAGCACTTGGTACAGAAGTGTGCAAGGGTTTCCATTTTTTTTGCGAAGCATTTCACCCATATCCTAAAGGGTAAATCATCTCAGCAGCTCAGCCAAGATCTGAGGGTTTTTGCGACGAGGCTGTGTGTGTGTGTGATCTGTGTGTCTTTGCAATGAGGCTGTGTGTGTGCCTTTGCGATGAGGCTGTGTGTGTGTGTGCGTGTGTGTGTGATTTGATTGTCTTTGCGATGAGGTTGTGTGTGTGTGTGTGTCTGCGAAGAGACTGTGTGTGTGTGTGATCTGTGGGTCTTTGCAATGAGGCTGTGTGTGTTTTTGCGAAGAGGCAGTGTGTGTGTGTGTGTGCGCGCGCGCGCGGGTCTTTGCAATGAGGCTGTGTGTGTATGTGTCTTTCCGACAAGGCTGTGCGTGTGCGTGTGCGTGTGTGTTTGGGTCCTAGCGACAAGGCTATGTGTGTGTGTGTGTGTGTGTGTGTAGCGGCGGTGCATGCATTTAGCAACCAGACACCGGCTCAGCAGTGTGACGCCTGGCTGCCCTCCAGGCCCAGGTGGACGGGGGGCGGTACTTTTGTGCACGGAGCCGCTGGAGGACGGGCTCGCGCTGGGCGTGTGGCTCCACGTGAAGATCGAAGCCTGGCTGGGCACGGGCGTCGGGCTCAGGCTGGGGCTGACCACGCTGGGCAGGCGCGGGCAGAGTTCCAGCTGGTTGTAGTCTTTGACCTTGTCGAAGTTCAAGGCCGTCCAGAGGTACTCATTGAAGAGCATCCCAGGCACAGTCTGCACAGTGTCCAGCCTCTTCCCAGCTCCGGTGTCCGCCTCCACCTCCGCCTCTGCCTCTGCCTCCGCCGCCTCTTCCTCCTCCACATCCTCCTCCTCCTCTGACCCCTCCTCGGACTCTTTCTGGCCCCCCTCCTCCTCCTCCTTCTCCTTCTCCTCCTCCTTCTCCTCCTCCTCCTCTTTCTCCCTCTCCTCCTCCTTCTCCTCTTTCTCCTTCTCCTCCTTCTCCTCTTTCTCGTCTTTCTCTTCCTCTTCTTCCTTCTCCGGCTTGCCGGAGCTGTGATGTGAGGCCATGGCTGGCGGAGGCGAGACCGCAGCTGCTCGAGTCGCAGCCCTGGCCGCGCGCCAGGCTGTGCGTCCCTCTGTCTCCCAGGGCGACGGCCCGCGCACGGGTTTAAAGCGGCAGGCCTCCTTTTGCTGGAGGAATGTAATAATGTCTGGGGCCCCTGGGCAGCTAGCAGCGTAATGAGCTATGAGCTTCCTTTCCTTTCCTGGAGAACTGGTCCCTTTTTTAAGTTTTCAGTGGTTGGGGCCTGGGCTGCTTTGGTGGATGTCTGTAATGCCACTTGGCATTATGGGTGCTGGGATTTGGCTTTTGAGTAGATAGATGCCAGGTGGGACTGCCACAGAAACCAGATTTTCAAAATCAGAAGCCAGCTCTTGGGCCGAGGTTTGCAGGTTTGATTTATTTATTATTTACTTATTTATTTATTTTTATTTGATTTATTTATTAAAACACTGCCTTAAATACTAAGTGTCTTGCTGAGTGAGATTGCTGGCATTCCTTGCCTTTGGCACCTGACTCTGGTCCCAGTCCTGCTGTGGCTTCCTCTGTTTCCTGGAGGTGGAGAAGGCCTGAGGCATCCCTGGCCACGTGGGTGCCACCTCTGTCCTTTTTGGACTTTGTTTTCATTTTATGACTCTTGAAATTTCTGTAAGATTTTTTTTTAAATATTTATTTCTTTATTTAAGAGGCAGAGTTACAGACAGAGAGAGGAAGAGACAGACAGAGAGGTCTTCCAAATGCTGGCTCACTTCCCAAATGGCTGCAGCAGCCCCTGCTGGGCCAGACTGAAACCAGGAGCCAGGAGCCAGGAGCTTCTTCTGGGTCTCCCACGTGGGTACAGGGGCCCAAGGGCTTGGGCCATCTTTTGCTGCTTTCCCAAGCATGTCAACAAGGAGCTGGATTGGAAGTACATCATCTGGGACTCGAACCAGCACCCATATGGGATGCTGGCCCCACAGGCACCTGCTATGCCACAGCGCCATCCCCATAAGATATCTTTATACACACAAAGAGGTACGCAGGGTACCGCAGTGGGCACCTGCGTGACTGACCCTTACAGGAGGTGACTCCTTTCAGATTCAGTTTCCCTGGGTGTAAATGGGAACAGCAATCCCCCAAGATGTCTGTGGGTGTGGGGGAGCATGGCTCAGCGCCTACAACCATCAGCATGTTTCATCCAGAGACCGCCTGTAGTGACACTGGGCTGGGTTTCTTATTTATTGCAACGAAATGTCTTAAACGGTTTAGGCTTCGTTTTGAAGATTTGGGAGAGGCGCTCAGGAACCAGGGTTTCCATCAGACAGCTGGGGAAAAGCACTGGGACCAATCTTTTGTCTGTGCTTAGACATAATTACGGGGTGGCCTTGTTTGGTTTCATTTTATCACGATGGCTGAGTTATCTTGTCTGGGGTTGTTGTTCCTTAAGAAGGGGTCTGTGCGACAGGAGAGCACGTGGCCTGGCTGTAGGCTGCACACCAACTTGTTCATGACAGGTGGTCTCCAGGTGTCAGGGGCTTCCAGCTGTGAGCCCCCATCCTGGGGGACTTGTACTGCCGGGGCTGTCAAAAGAACTGGAGAAGTTAGTGTTTAGATTGGCCAAGTAATATTTAATGACTGTTAAATCATAGATGTAGGGGCAGGTGTTGTGGCACTGACAGGGACCCCTGGCATCCCTTGCTGGGGTCAGCTGGAGTCCTGGCTGCTCCACTTCTGATCCAGCTCTCTGCTAATGCACCTGGGAAAACAGCAGAGGATGGCCCCAGTCCTTGGGACCCTACACCCATGTGGGAGACCTGGAAGAAGCTCTAGCCTCCTGGCTTCGGCCTTGCTGAGCCCCAGCTATTGTGGCCATTTTCGGGGAGTTAACCAGCAGGTGAGGTTTCCTTTCTCTCTCTCTCCTTCTCTCTTTATCTCTGCCTTTCAAGTAAGTAAGTTAAGTAAGTAAATAAATAAATCTCTCTTTTACAAGCAAAACAAAACAAAATACCAAAGACACAGTCCTTGAGCACCACACCAGCCCTCATTCTCAGCCTGGGGTGCTGGGCCATGGCACGGATAGGAGAGATGTAGCTCTGGCCCTCACCCACCAGCCGCCCCAGTCCCTGAGCACCCTGGCGGGAGTCCAGTAAGCTACCGGGCTCAAGGGCAGAACTTTTCCCCTGCACTCCAGGAAGTCAGGGAGAAAATGCACGGAATGTTTTTAAAAGTCTGCCCAGCAGAGAGGGGCTGTTTGAGTTGCTTTGGAAAGAAGGGCAGAATGCAGGTGGCTAGAGAGGAAAGAGCAGCATCGCGGCAGATTCAGGGCAGGACTGGAATGGTGCACAGCACCGTGGGGGGAGGCACAAATGCGATCCGGGGGATTTAGAAGAATAAGACGAGGCCCAATCCCTTTCTGGGCAGAAATGGTAGGATCTTGATATTGAACGTGCTCTTAGCAGTCTTAGAGCTGGCTAGGGCAGGTGGCTCAAGAGAAGGCCAGAGTGCTTCTGACCCCAGGCTTCTCAGACAGCAGGTGTGATGGGGGCTGGGAGACAGCAAGGGGGCAGTGTTTGTGCTTACTCTGAGCTGTCTGCTTCCAGCTCAATGTGTGACTTTTGGGACACTTTGTCAATTGAGCCGTGAATTAATTTGTTAAAGTACCCCTTGTGGGGCTGGCACTGTGGCACCAGCATCCCATAAGGGTGCTGGTTCGGTCCCAGCTGCTCCACTTCTGATCCAGCTCTCTGTGATGGCCTGGGAAAGCAGTAGAAGATGGCCCAAGTCCTTGGGCTGCTGCACCCACGTGGGAGACCCAGAAGAAGCTCCTGGCTCCTGGCTTCCAATGCGCCCAGCTCTGGCCTTTATGGCCACTTGAGGAATGACCCAGCAGGTGGAAAGCCTCTCTCTTTGCCTCTGTCTCTCTGTAACTCTGGCTTTCAAATACATAAATAATGTTTTTTAAAGTTCCCCTTCTTTGGAACCTTAGTTAAGCTTTTTGGAAAGTCTTGGGAAATTTACCTTGAACTCTTTTTCCCCAAAGAACCGTGCCTTCCTTCCCCATCAAGGGGCATTGGGCGGGCACCACCCCTGACTCACTGCACCCCTGTGCAACTTTGAGGCTGTTCAGCCTCGTTCCTTCCTCTGTAAGATGGAAATCTAAGTACCTTCCCTTTATTGAGGAAGTTCAAGGCCATCAAGAAGTACAAGGCCATTTGGAGAAAAATTTAATTATTAATTTTCTTTTTGAGAAGTTATTTTGTTTGTGTTTTTTAAAAAGACCACATAATTCTGTTTAGAAAATTAACTGTCTCTACCTCTCTGTAACTCTGCCTTTCCAAATAAATGAATACATCTTAAAAAAATTAACTTCTCTAGTCTGTAAAATAATATCTTGAGTATTGCAGATAAGTGCTCAGCTGGATTAAAAAGAATTGTCACTATAAGTGCATACTATAGTACTGTAGTAAGTGTTGTCATTTGGAATGTTGTTTCCCTTTCTAGTAACCGTTTTCCCTCTAAAGTTTGAGAAAAGTAAGAGAATGAGTTCGCACACAGCATATTTGACCAGGCGGTGGCCAGCGGGTGGCCAGCGGGCAAGCGGGTCAGGCAGGAGGCAGGGTGTCTCTTGGGAATGCTTTTGTCAAGCACTGCTGAGTGAGGTGGAAGGAGGCGCAGCCTCCCAGCCTTGCTGGCTAATTAAGAGCGCGCCTGGCAGCACGAGTACCAGGGCATCTTTCTCAATGTCACATCCTGCCCTCCCCACCTCCCCACACATTCCTTCCAGGAGGAGATTTCTGAAAGCCCAATTATGCCTCGTAATTAGCACTTTATCGTTGTCCTTAACATCTTCCGTGTGACCGCCTTGGGGAGGGTTGGTAGGAGAAAGGAGCCAGGTACCACACAGTCTTCTCTCCTCCCCGAGTCCCTGACGCCTGCTCACTTCTCCCTGGTGCCTGGTCCTCACACAGCTTCCTCTGGGGTCAAGTGCAACTTCATTGCCCTTTTTGGCCCCATCCCTTATCTTCAGACTGTGGCCCTCAGTCGTGGAGAAATAGATGCTCCCCATCCCTGTTGAGATGAGCAACCACAGGGCCTTGCTTCCTCCTCTGCCTCCTACAAGAGATTTCATTCATTCATTGATCCAGCCAACTGAGCAAATTTGTTCACTTAACAGTAATTACTGAGTGTCAGCTCCGTGGCAGGCCCTGTTCTTGGCTCTGTGAAAATAGCAGGAAACAAGAGTTCTGGGCTCACTCTTTTTTAAAGATTTATTTATTTATTTATTTATTGAAAAGCAGAGTTACAAAGAGAGAAGGAGAGACACAGAGAGAGAGAGATCTTCCATCCGCTTTTCTCCAAATGGCCACAAAGCCTGGGGCTGGGCCAGGCCAAAGCCAGGAACCAGGAGCTCCTTCCAGGTCTCCCACATGGGTAGCAGGGGCCCAACTACTTCAGCCAGCCATCTTCTGCTGCTTTCTCTGGCATATTAGCAGGGAGCTGGATCGCAAGTGGAACAGCCAGGTCTTGGACTGGGGCTCATATGGGATGCAGACAGCAGTTTATTTATTTTAAGTTTTTATTTAATGAATGCATGTTTTCATAGGTACAACTTTAGGAATATAGTGGTTCTTTCTTCCATACCCACCCTCCCACCCCAGTTCCCATCCCACCTCCCTCTCCCTCTCCCATCTCCTTCTTCATTATGGTTCATTTTTAGTTTGATTTTATATACAGAGGACCAACTCCATGTTAAGCATAGATTTCAACAGTTTGCACCCACACATACACACAACATATAGAGTATGGTTTGAGAACAAGATTGCAGTCGATTCTCATAGTACAACTCATTAGGGATGGAGGTCCTACATAGGGAGTAAGTGCACAGTGACTCCTGCTGTTCCTTTAACAATTAACACTCTTATTTATGATGTCAGTGATCACCTGAGGCTCTTGCCATGAGCTGCCAAGGCTATGGAAGCCTTCTGTGACCATAGACTCCATCAATATCTGGACACGGCCATAAGCAAAGTGGAAGTTCTCTCCTCCCTTCGGACAAGAGTACATCCTACTCTGATGGCCTCTTTTTTCCACTGAGGTCTCACAGAGATCCTCCATGTAGCAGACAGCAGTTTAACCTGTTGGACCAGAGTGCTGGCCCCTGTGCTCACCCTCGGGCTTTGCACTGGAGAAAGCCCACGCTGTAAAGAATCACTGTGTTAGAAGGTCGGAAAGGTCGCAAAGAAAAAGAAAATGAGTGCATGAACGGGGAGGAAGTGCAGGGTTGTGGGCGGAAATAGTTTTTTCGTTTTGTTTTGTTTTTTCATAGAAGTGGCCGGGAAGACCTCGGAGCAGACTGATATTGGAGCAGCCCCTTGCAAGGCGGGAAGGAGCTGACTACCTTGTCTCTGGGTCAGGGGCACAGCAGGAGCTGGTGCGGCCAGAATGAGGGAGCACACACTCAGAGGTGTGGGGTTGTGGCTTTTCGTCCCAGTGGGGTGGGGAGATCTGCGAGGCTTCGGGCAAGACGTGGTTTATGTCTTAAGCAAGACCCTGCTAGGCTTACCTAGACTGGTCTATCCACAGAGACTCAGTAGATTTCGTGGGAGCAGAAGCTTGGTGAGTAGGAAGACCTGATAGAAGGTTATTGTGGCTGGCGCTGCGGCTCACTAGGCTAATCCTCCACCTAGCGGCGCCGGCACACCGGGTTCTAGTCCTGGTCAGGGCACCGGATTCTGTCCCGGTTGCCCCTCTTGCAGGCCAGCTCTCTGCTGTGGCCCGGGAGTGCAGTGGAGGATGGCCCAAGTGCTAGGGCCCTGCACCCCATGGGAGACCAGGAGAAGCACCTGGCTCCTGCCTTCGGATCAGCGCGGTGCGCTGGCCGCAGCACGCCAGCCGTGGCGGCCATTGGAGGGTGAACCAATGGCAAAAGGAAGACCTTTCTCTCTGTCTCTCTCTCTCACTATCCACTCTGCCTGTCAAAAAAAAAAAAAAAAAAAAAGGTTATTGTACTCTTGGGCAAATGTGTTTGAAGTGGCGCAGTGGGTTAATGCCCTAGCCTGAAGTGCCAGCATCCCATGTGGCCTTTGAGACCCAGCTGCTCCACTTCCATCCAGCTCTCTGCTATTGCCTGGGAAAGCAGTGGAAATGGCCCAAGTCCTTGGGCTGCTGCACCCATGTGGGAGCCTGGCTTCAGATCAGCACAGCTCTGGCCATTGTAGCCATCTGGGGAATGAACCAGCAAATGGAAGATCCCCACCCGCCCCCCGCCTTTCCTTCTCTTTCTGTGGAACTCTGACTTTCAAACAAAAACAAATAAATGTTTGAAGTGCAGTCTCAAAAGCAGAAGAAATATAGTTGGGAGCTCACAGACCTTTAAAGAAGTCCCTCTGCTTTCAAGAAGCCAAGTGGGAGAGGAGAGGGGACAAATTGCCAAAGCCCTATACAACAGGGTGTCTCAGGGTGGGTGTTTGGCACACAGGTTAAGATGCTAGGGGCTGTCCACATACTGTATTGGGGTGCCTGGGACTGAGTTCCAGCTCTGCTTCCAATTATAGCTCCCTGCTAGTGCACACTTGGGGAGGCCACAGGTGATGGTTCAAGTACTCCCAGCCTTGTGGACTGAGTTGACCTAGATTGAGCTCTGGGCTCCTGACTTCAGCCTGGCCCAGCAGTCACTGCCATAGGCATTTGGGGAGTAAGCCAGTGGACAGAAGATATATTTATCTGTCTCTGCCTCTTACTCTCTATCTTAAAAAAAAAAAAAAAAAAAAAAAAGGAAACCCAGAACATACAAGATGTCTTGGAGTTCGATGGGATTGCTCCTGGGTGAGGTGAAGAGTGAAGAGAGGAGAATCTGAAGACTGTCGGGAAGGAGTTAGCCATTACCTGGCATCACCTGGTAGGGTTATTTGGGTTATTTCCAACCCAAGGCCCTGCATGTTATAAAAGTAACCCATACTCATTGCAGAACAGTTTGGAAATGCAGAAAACAAAAATAAAAGGGAAAAACACTTATCCATAGTTCTAATATCCTGAAACAAACCATATTATCATTTTGAAATATCTTCTTTCATTCATCCTTTTCTGTATATTTGCTTTACATTTTGCAATTATATATATTTACCTTTTGTTTCCCATGACGCTGTAAACATGTCTGTATATTCTATTGCCCATTATGTCACATCAGGTGACGCACTATGACTATTATATCTGCAGTGAGTGCAGATATCAACAGAATACTCATTTGGCTCATTAGGCCTGAGACCAGCATGAGTAAGACTGACAAGGCCCTTACCTTTATGAAGTTATATTCTGGAAGGAGTTTATATTAGTCAGCTTTTCATTACTATTACAAGATACATATGGGAGGCTACTTACTAAGAAAACAGGTTTGATTTGGCTCATGGAGTCCCAAGGTGGCCAGGGCATTGCATGGTGAGAGACAGGAAGCACACGTTTCTGTGGTCTTTCCTTCTGCTTATCAGCCCACCAGGATCAATCATGGAGGCCCCACCCTAGGGACCTCATCTAATCTTAATCACTTCCTCTTAGGCGGATTAAGTTCTCACCACCTCTTAGATTAAGTTTTCACCCTCTTAATATCTCACAGTGGGAATTAAATTTCAACACAAACACAAACACTTGAAGTCATTGGGGACACTCAAACCATAGCAGAGTTAAATGAAGGAGTTAAAGCAGGAAAGAGCTATATTATTCTAGCTGAGGAATGATAAATGTGTGGTGTGTTAAGTCACTAGGTTTGCCCTTAATATTTTATGTGTGGTGATTTGTTAAAAGCAGTGAAGGAAACCAGTACACTCGGCTCATTTCCACTCTAGAGTTGTGTTGGTTCTTTCCTTGGTCAGCTCTGTGTGTGTCTGGTTTCTCTTTTTTTTTTTTTTTTTTTAAGATTGATTTATTTATTTGTAGGAGAGAGAGAGGGAGACCGAGAGTGAGAGAGCAACGGCTCTTTCATTTGTTGGCTCACTCCCCAAATGGCCACAGTGGCTGAGGCCGGTCCAGGCTGAAGCTGAGAGCCTAGAAACCCATCCTGGTCTCCCACATAGGGGGCAGGAGCCCAAGCACTTGGGCCATCATTCACTGTTTTCCCGGTGCATTAGCAGGGAGCTGGATCAGAGGCAAAGCAGCTGTATCTCAGATCAGCAATGTGGGATGCAGGCATCGCAAGCGACTGCTTAACCCACTGCGTCACAATGCTGGTCCCAGGCCAGTTACTTCAAAGTGCTTTGCCAGCTCTTTTGTGCCTGTGAGAGTGTTTTCAAAATCTGTTTGCTTAGCTTTTGTAGATGTCCTCCGTGGGAAAGTTGGCCTGAGTTACCTAGCCCATGAGTCCTTGAAGTAGAAGTCCTCTAGGTAAAGTGGTTCCTATATTCAGTGGGGTTAATCATACGTGAATATGGAAGGTGACGTTATGATCTGAATGCATCCTCCAGAATCCATGTGTGGAAATGGAATTGCCAATGTGAGAGCATCGAGAGCAGGGACCCTTTGGCGGTGGTTAAGGCACGAAGGCAGAGACTTCATGAATGGGAGTCACACCTTCAGAAAAAAGCTACAGGAAACTCGCCTTCCTCCATTTTGCCCCTCCCCCTTCTGCCATGTGAAGACACAGCAGCAAGGTGCACCTCTTGGAAGCAGAGAGGCTGGGCCCCCACCAGACACTGGCTGGTGCCTTGCTCTTGGGATTTCCAGACTTCAGAACCACAAGAAATACATTTCTGATGTTTATACATTGCCTAGGACGTGATGTCTAGTTACAGCAGCGCAAAGAGGCTAAGACAGGTGGATTTGTGGGAATGAGTGCATGAAATCTCAGCTTGAGGGAAAGACGGAGGATTGAAGTTCTAGAAAGGAAGCTCTGTCTTTGAAAAAGGGTATAGGCTCGGTTGTTGTAAGAGGGAGAAGGAGAGTAGTGACAACAGAATCACAGCGTGTTCATTTCTGACACGTCACAGTCCAGAGAAGGCGGTTCAGTTTTTGGGGAAGCTCTGATCCATATGCTCGTGTTCTGTCTGTCTTGTGGCTCCACCATCCCCTAGGCTGTGATCAGCATCCTCATCACGGAGTGCTGTATCAGCACCCTGGCTGTGGAGAGGGAAAGAGGAAGAGGAGGGTGGCCAGTTTTATTTTTGTCTTTAAGAGCATATTATGGGGGCCAGAGCTGTGGCACAGCCAAGTGAAGCCACAGCCTGCAGCACTAGCATCCCAAATGGGTGCTGGTTCGAGTCCCGGATGCTCCACTTCTGATCCAGCTTCCTACTAATGCTCCTGGGAAAGCAGCGGAAGATGGCCCAAATGCTTGGGCTCCTGTACTTGAATAGGAGATCTGGAGGAAGCTCCTGGCTCCTGGCTCCTGGCTTCAGATCGGCCCAGCTCCAGCTGTTGCAGCCATTTCTGGAGTGAGCCAGTGGTTGGAAGATTTCTCTCTCTTTTTCTTTCTCTCTTTTCCTCTCTCCATCTCTCTCTCTCTCTCTTCTCTCTCTCTCTCTCTCTCTCTGCTTCTCTCTGTTACTCTGTATTTAATAAAATAAGTAAATAAAAAAGAGTATATTATGGACGCTAAATTCATCACTTCCGTTTAGATACTCTTGGTCCACATTAATTATTTTTATCACCATTGCCAGAGGCAAGAGAGGACAGGGATGTCCTTCCCACAGCTGTGGCAGAGCGCAGGACTGGCTATAATGTGAGAAAGAAGAGGATGGGGTGGATCCTGAGGAGCAGTTAGCAGTCTCTATCATAGAACCCCGTTACAAGAGGTAGAGAAGGGGGCCAGCGCTGTGGCACAGCGGATTAAAGCCCTGGCCTGAAGCGTCGGCATCCCATATGGACGCCGATTCTAGTCCCAGCTGCTCCACTTCTGATCCACCTCTCTGCTAGGGCCTGGGAAAGCAGTAGAAGATGGCCCAAGTCCTGGGACTCCTGCACCCACGTGGGAGACCTGGAAGAGGCTCCTGGCTCCTAGCTTAGGATTGGCACAGCTCTGGCCATTGCAGCCGTCTGGGGAGTGAACCAGAGGATGGAAGACCTCTCTCTCTGTCTCTACCTCTCTGTGTAACTCTGTCTTTCAAATAAATAAAATTAAAAAAAAAAGGAGAGAGGTAGAGAAGGACTCTCATAACCAGAGTAGGCCAGTGGGACAAGGGGGAGAGACCCCAACATGACTTCTCATGTGAATAGGAGCACCCCAGGTTTCTGTGTGCTAGGGGACGATGAGCTCAAGAGGGGACTGAAAATTAGAGCAGAAAGTCCTGGAAGGCTTGTTAAGGGACAGAGAGGTGGGTAGCATGCGCCTCAGCCCCCTCCTACCCCCCCTCCCGATTTGTGGCTCAGTACACTAGGGGTAAATCTGGAAAATTTTCATTTCTAATGATTTTCCAGATGATGCTGATGGAACTGTTCAGGGATCAGACTTTAAGAATACTGTATCTTGTGCCCAACTAGCTTGCACTGGCTTTGCTTTCAAGAGCTGATGGCGAGAGGTATGTCCAAGAAGAATGAGGGAGCTGGGCTCTGCGTATCAGCTGTGGGAGGCTGGAATCCTTCACCGTTGTGTTATGGAGGGGGTCCCTGCAGGCAGGTGCAGGGAAGCCCCTTAACACACATGGTCATAATCACCTCACTTTTATGTTCCTGATACTCAGTTTCTCTCCCCTGGCTAATTCCAAAAGAACACCCTGGAAAACCATTTGATGCTCTTAACTTGAAGAATTTGTTCTGTCTCATACCCAAAGATATGCACAACATATTATTTTTATAGTTTTTATTCATATTTTAGTGAGAATTTTATGAATATAGGTTTTGATTCTTTGGTACAAGATGGAACATAATCTATTTAGTTGTGTCTCTCTCTCTTTTAATTTTAGAAAGATACTAAATTTACCAGGAGAGGGAACTGAATTCCTACCTATTAGTTACAGAATGGAATTGAAAACAATGATAGATCATTTTGAAAAAAAGAATGTTTCTTGAGGAAATTATTAAAAACTGAAGGGAATCAATTTATGGGCTTTGTTTTTGACTACTGGAAAATGCACCTGAGCTGATATTGGTTTTTTTCTGTCTGTCTGTCTGTCTTTAAGATTTCTTTTTTATTTGAAAGACAGAGTTACAGAGAGGCAGAGGCAGAGAGAGAGAGAGAAAGAGAGGTCTTCCATCCGCTGGTTCACTCCCCAAATGGCCACAATGGTCAGAGCTGCACTGATCTGAATCCAGGAGCCGGGAGCTTCTTCCTGGTCTCCCACGCGGGTGCAGGAGCCCAAGGACTTGGACCATCTTCTACTGCTTTCCCAGGCCGTAGCAGAGAGCTAGATCGGAATTGGAGCAGCTGGGACTCAGACTGGCACCTATATGGGATGCTGGCACTGCAGGCGGCAGCTTTACTTGCTATGCCACAGTGCTGGCCTCGGGGTTGTCCTATTTTCAATTCCAAGTTGCATTCAGCTGGCAGAAGGAAAGAAAAAGAATGGGTGATTAAAAAAAAAAGATTTATTTATTTGAAAGAATTAGGAGAGGCAGAGAGAGAGATTCGCTGGTTTACTCCCCAGTTGACTGCAATGGATAGGGCTGGGCCAAGCCAAAGCCAGGAGCTTCTTCCAAGTCTCCCACATAGGTGCAGGGGCCCAAGGACTTGGGCCATCTGCTGCTGCTTTCCCAGGCACATTAGCAAGGAGCTGGAGCAGCTGGGACTCCAACCAGCTCCCATATGGGATGCTGGCACTGCAGGCCGTGGCTTAACCCACTGTGTCACAGCACCAGTCCTGAGATGGGGGTGATCTTTAAGCTCCAGTATTGACGTCAGCCAAGTGGAATATGGTAGCTTTGGGATCTGCAAGGAGGGAAGGCCTATACTTCCAGGAAGAGAGAGTCCCTACCTGTACTTCTGGGGAAGAAAAGTCCTTGTCAATGTCCCCACGGTGCCTAAAGGTCAACCAATGAGGATCAGACCTGCCTTGACCTTTAACCCCCACGCGCTGTATCTATAAAAGGAACCCTCCCAACCTCTGATGTGCGTCTTCCCCGGCCCCTGCTCTATTGGGACTGGGGAACCTCGCCCGGAGCGGAATCCCAATAAAAGCTTGTGAATTAATTGATTCGTCTGTCTGGGAAGATTTGTTACGCGCCGGACACCTTGCAGAATATTAGGGGACATAACTGGGAAAATAGGAAGAGCCCAGGAGTGAAGGAAACAAGAGATGTAGCACCAGCAGGGGCAGGCACAAGGCCCAGGGCGGTGGCCCCATTCAGGTGGAGTCCCAGGCAGCCTGTGGCTCACCCGCTGTGGTTCCGCTTTTCTCCATCACAGGAATGCAGCCTGGCAGAAACAGGCTGGAGGTGTGGTTCCAGGGGAAAACTTGCCGAGTGTCAAAAAGAAGCAGTCTTATGCAAAAGAGAACCTCAACATCATTAGCCAGTAGGGACCTACAAAACAAGTCAACAATGAGATACTACGCTGTACTCACTAAGCTGACTTTGATTAAAAAAAAAACACAGACTATAACAAGTATTGGGAAGAGGGTGGAAAAATTAGAGTTCTCAGACATCACTGGAGAGACTGCAAAATGGTGCAACTGTCCTGGAAAACATTCTGGCATTCCACGGTGTCCCCTCCCGTCCGACCCAGCAGTTCCACTCCAGTTCCACCCAGGAGAATGCAGACACGTGTCCACGCAAAAACTTGCTCATGAATGTTCTCATCAGCATCATTCACAGTAGTTAAAGTGTTCCTCAGCTGACCCATGGGTGTTTAAAATGCATGTTCATCCAATGGAATGCTGGTTGGCAGTGAGAATAAATGAAGTACTTATCCGTGCTTCAACATGGATAATCCTCGAAAGCATGAAAAGTGAAAGCAGCCGGTTATAAGGGCTCCACAGAGTAGTTCCATTTGAATGAAATGTAGAACAGGAAAGACGGGCCAATGTGCAGATACAGAAAGCAGATTGGTAGCCGTGGAGGACCAGCAGAATTTGGGAAAGTGGGGAATGACTAGTAATGGGCCTGTGGTTTCCCTTAGGGATGAGGAGCGTGGTCCAAAATCACTTGGGTGCTGGGCGTTTGGCTCAGCGGTGAAGATGGTGCTTGGGTTGCCCGCGTGCCTGGGTTCCACTCCTAGCGCTGCTTCCGGTTTCAGCTCCCTCCTAATCCCCATCCTGGGAGGCAGCTGGCGATAGCTCAAGTACTTGGGTCCCTGCCACCATGTGGGAGACCTGGATTGTGTTCCTTACTCCTGGCTGTGGCCCGGTGCCCTAGCTGTAGTATACATTTGAGAAATGAGCCAGCTGATGGGAGATTTCTCTCTGTGTCTCTTTCTCTGTCAAATAAAAAATTAAAAAATGAAGTTGTGGTGGTGGAGCACATCTCTGAGAACACAGCAAACACCACTTAATTGTACACTTTGAGTGAACTGTCCGGTACGTGAATTATATCTCAATAAAGCTATTTTTTTAAAGGAAGTGAAAAAGTAAAATCACCCCACCCAGATGTTATTAACAACAGCTTATGTGGCAACAGAACTGAACCCCAACTCTGTCGCCTGCATGTGCCTCTTCATGCCGGGATTCTTTCTGGGGATTGTATGTCCCTGGCTTTTGCTTTGATTTGGGATAATATTTTATGTCCTCTCCTCCTTTGAATTGCAAGGCATTGTGCAAGATCACAGCAAATAGTAGTTCTCCCTTTCTAGGATTCTTGGCAGGATTCAATTGTGCCTGGCATGTGGTTAATAACTATTAGCTATTATTTTTATCCTAACCAAATTTTTTTATTGTTGCAGAAAAAACTGAGATATGGAGTATGTTTCTCAGTTTTAATGCCTGTTATTTGTGTAGTTCTGCCAGGTCTAGCACACATCCAGTACACGGGAGGTGAAGGGGCACAGACCTGCCTCCTGTCTACCCATTATCACATGGTGCAATGATAAAGACAGACATTAGGGGGCAGCATGCAATCGCAAGAAAACCCAGCTCATTTGACATAGGCCAGAAATATCAAAGGAAAGTGAAAAGCTTTCCTTTAATACAGTATCTTGTAGCATGCTTTTTTTTTAAAACATTTATTTTATTTATTTGAAAGACAGTTACAGAGAGAGGTAGAGACAGAGAGAGAGGTCTTCCATCCACTGGTTCACTCCCCAGATGGCTGCAATGGCTGGAGCTACGCTGATCCGAAGCCAGGAGCCAGGAGCTTCCTTCTGGGTCTCCCACGTGGCTGCAGGGGCCCAAGAACTTGGGCCATCTTCTACTGCTTTCCCAGGCCATAGCAGAGAGCTGGATTGGAAGAGGAGCAGCTGGGACTAGACCCGGCGCCCATATGGGATGCCGACGCTTCAGGCCAGGGCGTTAACCCGCTGTGCCACAGCGCCAACCCCTTGTAGCATGCTTTTATGGAAGGGAAATACTGGATGGCATTGCTTCTGGAAGAACAGCTGCAGCATTTCTCAAGGTCTACCTACACATTCCTGCATTACGGGATGTTGCTCACGGGCTGTTCACTGTATGCTGGCTCCTGTGGGATCACTTAGCTTCTCCTGCAGCCAGTTCCCGCCATGAGAGGTGCTGATGGGAGCCAGCTGAAGGCCTACGTTAGGATACCACTGCCTTACAAAGCACTTGAACATGAGATGTGGCTTCTGGGAGCAATGGGGATGCTTTAGGTCTGAGGCTTCCCTTCGACACCTAATGAGTTTCCGCAGAGGTCCGTGTGCCCCAGCTCAGCCTGAGTCCCTCAGGCACAGGGGCCTACTCCATTTTCCTCTTTGTGTTCTCAGCCGTGTGCAGGGTTTGGCGTGTCCAAGTGAGCAGCACAGTGACTCCTGGGCTAAACTGCAGAAGCTGGAAAAAGAGGGCGAACCGTGACCACTTTGTGCACGAGCAATGGGACTCTCCAGTGTGTCTTCTTTAGTTATTTTGTTTTTCCATATTGCAAAAGCAGTCCACGTTCATAATGGGCAAAGCAAGCAAACAGAACTTTGGAAAATGCTCATCATCCCACCTACCCAATATCAATCTGGAGAATATCACAGATTCTTTCCATGTGTGTATATAAACGTGTATGTGTGTATAAATATATGTGTGTATACGTAGATAGCGTTTACATTGCTGGCATTGTGGAATATCGCATTCCATCGTATGAGGACACTATCTTCATTTAACTACAGCCCCTCTTTCGGACGTTTGAGCTGTTTCTAAATGTTTGGTCTTTTGAAGAGAAGTCTGTCTCTAAGACTCAGCACGCATTCTTCACGAACACTTTAGGATAAATCCCCAGAAGCAGGATTTCTGGGTGAAGGGTAATTTACGTTGTCACCAGCAGTGGCAGTGCCCTTGATCAGCTGAAAAGTTCTAATTAGACACCACGCGAGAACTCTATAATCGTGGCTCAGGAATGTCATCGCTGCTCAAAACATTTGGGGAGCTTTGTGTTTGGTGATCCGGGGTGTGACTCACAGAAGAAAATAAATCATCTCATCTTGTCTTTGATCTTTGTTCAGGAAAATCCAGTTTATGGCAAAAGGACAAAGCAAGCATGCATGGAGGATATTTGTATAAATGTGGCACCCACGTCAAGGGGAGAGGTGGAGAAGCGTGTCCCACACGGCCTGCAGTGACACACCAGAGGGTAAGCTGCCACCCCTCATTTTTGTAAGTCTCTTTGGAAATTTTGGATAGAAACTCCCCATCATTTGAAGATTCATTCTGTGTGGCAAAAGGTTTTTTCTTTTTTAAAAGATTTATTTATTGATTTGAAAGGCAGAGTTACAGAGAGGCAGAGGCAGAGAGAGAGAGAGGTCTTTCATTCGCTGGTTCACTCCCCAGATGGCCGCAATAGCCAGAGCTGCGCTGATCCAAAGCCAGGAGCCAGGAGCTTCTTTTGGGTCTCCCACGCAGGTGCAGGGCCCCAAGGACTTGGGCCATCTTCTACTGCTTTCCCAGGCCATAGCAGAGAGCTGGATCGGAAGTGGAGCAGCTGGGACTAGACCCGGCGCCCATATGGGATGCCAGCGCTTCAGGCCAGGGCGTTAACCTGCTGTGCCACAGCGCTGGCCCCCTGGGCTCTTTCCTAAAGGTTCCCAAGCTCCTCTTGCTTTAGCTCATAAAGATCTACCCAAGCAAAGCACAGAACATCCCAAAACACGTTTCTTCAGGTTTCTTCTTGGAAGAACAAGAGAGGCAGTGAATCCATCCGAGGGTTAGCAGTTCTGTTTAGAGGGGCTTATGGGTGGCAGTTGATTGACGGGAGCTGGCCCGGAGGATGGCACTGGTTTTCCCCAAGGTTATCTGTTTATTTGGAGGGGATTTGGAGAAGAGCTGATGGTGGGTGGGGGCTACAATAAACTCAAGCAACCCTCTCAGTGCTGCTTTGAGAGGGCTGCGGTGCACAGAAATCCTCAGTGGCTCCTCGTAGCTTCCTAGATAAAGCTCTGGACCGATATGCAAGGCCTCCTACACAACAGTCCTAACCCTACTTTCCCAGCCCTCCCAGTCTCCACCGTTTATACAGACCCACATGGAAGCTGCCCACACGCTTGCCACTGCTCCAGCCACCGCTCAGCAACCAGCTGGGCAGTGTGGCCTGTCAGCCCAGGCCTTAGCTGCACCGAGAGTGGCTCACTTTCTGTCTGATGTCTCCCTGATCCTGCCTCCCGGTGGCCTTCTGGACTCAGGCACGCGAGGGACCTGCTGTGCTTTGGAGCAACCTTTGATGACCTGGGGACAGGAACTGGAAGGTGAAGACTCCTCTTATGTTCCAGGCCCTTCTACACAATTCCTCAGAAGCCCCCAGTGGGATTGAGCCCCACTCAGTCGGGATTGAGCTCCCTGTGCTGACAGACTGGGAAGGCACCCTTACCACCTGGCCCTTTGGTCCCCACTCCTGCTGCCTGGGATCGAAGCCTCGTCTCAGGCTCTGCTTACCAGGAGCAAACAACAGTTGCCATCCTATTTGCTGTGTCCACATTATGTTTTTATTTTTCTTTCTTTATAAAAAATTTTATTTATTTATTTGAAAAGCAGAGTTGCAGAGTAAAGAGACAGGGATCTTCCATCTGCTCGTTTACTCCCTCAATGGCCACAATGGCTGGGATTGGGCCAGGAAGAAGCCAGGAGCCAGGAACTTCTTCTGGGTCTCCCATGTGGGTACAGGGGCTGAAGGACTTGGGCCATCTTCCACTGCTTTCCCAGGTACATTGGCAGGAAGCTGGATCAGAAGTGGAGCAGCCGGGACCCAAAACAGTCCCCATATGGGATGCTGGCACTGCAGAAGGTGGCCCAACCCACTGTGCCACAGTGCTGGCCCCACTGGTTACATTCTTTGCTTTTCTTTGATTCATTTCTTCAGTACTCACATGGGGACATCTAATATGTTGCCTGTGTGGGGAAGGGTCCTGTAATATAAAAAGAAATCAGACACGGGTCTCGCCCTTTAGGAGTATTTTTTTGGCCTAAGAGAAAAGGCAGGCAGCTCAAACAATGGCAGAGTAACAAAATGAATGCTGTTCCTGAGACCCAAGACGGGGGGACACAGGGGGCAGGGCTACTGATTCAACTCGGGGCACCTGGGATGGGTTTCTCGGAGTGGATTTTAAGGGATGAATAGGAGCCAGTTTGTAGGAAGGAGGTGGAGGGCGTGGTCTGGCAGACAGAGTCGTGGGAACGTGGGGTGCTTGGGTACTGTGGGAAGTGCAGGGAGACTGGCGTGCAGCACGCCCAGCAAGGTGCTGCTCAGAACCAGAGTGCCTGCTGCTTATGTGCCACTGGCCCGTCTGGACTCCGGGACAAGGTAGTCCTCTCATCCTGGCGGTAGCTGCTGGCCAAGGGCAGACGCCATGGACTGGGGACAGGCTGAGTCCGCTGGGGTGGGGGGTCTGGGAAGCTGCATCTGGCCTTGCAGTACTGCGCACGGCTTGCTGTGCATCAGTTTCCTGTTCTTGGAGAGAGCCAGCAGGCATCCCCGGGTTCGAGTACAGCTGGGAGGGGGCTGGAAGGGTGCTGTCTCTCACAGGAGCAAACCACTTGCGTGTGTTTCCTCTGCATTGAAATAATTCTGCATTATGTTTATTGGTGCCTTTCCATTTCCCTCCCCCATCTTTTTGGTTAGCCAGGCAGCTCCCGACTTGGGAGCAGGTCAGTGACTTTCGGAGTGGGACGGATGAACCAATGGCTGGCTGAACCAAGTGGCCACCTCCTGGAGACCCCTTGGAGAGCTGGGGGAGGGTGAGAATTTAAGGCCACACAGAGAAGGCATGGGGAAGAAGCAGTGGGGAGGAGAGGAGAGGCAAGGAGAGCAGAGAGGAGCAGGGTGTGGCTGAGGCCCAGCGATCCGGCAGTAGCAGGGGTGGGAGATAGCGGGGCTTGGGACGCTCGCTGGGGCCTGCCTGATCTTTCTGCTTCTGGAAACATTCCAGCTCCCAGAAACCCACTGGTCCGCCGGGCCCGTGGCTCCCAGGCCATGACAGCAAACACACACTTCCCTGTTATCAGTCACATCCCAGCGTGAGCATGGTCAGGACAGGCCCTGCCTGGTCCTGCCTGGCCCTGCCTCTCACTGCTGTGTGAACTTGGGCAAGGAGTTGGCCACCGTGTGTGCCTCAGTTTCCTCATTTGTAAATCAGGCTACCATTGGTGACCACATCCGTGGGTCATCGTGATGACTGCCAGTGGCACTCACTAAACGCTCTCTAAGCCACGTTAAGTAAAATGTGTAGGAGGCAGCTGTGGACGTGGCCTGGGCCCAATAGACGGAAGCTAATAGAGTTACCGCGGCGGCTGAGCTTTGCTTGGTTGCTGGCGACTCGGCAGCCCATTCATGCAGTAAACTAACCCATAACCAGCTGATGGACTCAGCTGTAGCCGGTTAGGTGGTTTCTGTGGGTGCCGTCGGGCCACGCTGCTGGCCCCCTTCTCAGAGCCTGCCCTGCTTCTGGGGGCTGCTCGACTGGCACATCCTTTCTGTTTGGCTCAAATCAACTCTGCTGAGTTTAGTTGGTATAAGGGACTATAGAGACTGTTTCCCAGGTGTGTGGCCTGGGGGGGGGGGGCTGTGGCCCCCTGGGAGCCCTGAGCGGTCCCAGGCCTGTGGGGCGAGGGAGGGAGCAGCTCTCAGACCCAGTAGCCTCAGGAGAGGGCGCGGGCAGCACTGTGGGGCTCTGTACCACTGCAGCGGGGCCAGCCGGGCCCAACACGGCAGCGTGGAAAGGATGTGGGTCCTCAAGCCCTCCCTGCTTTCCTGCCCTGATCTCCTGCCCATGTCTCCCAAAGACCAATCTGATTGGAGACCAGCGGGCAAGGCAGTACGGTGGGTATAAAACATAGAGGGCGGTGTGCCAGGCCCAGAGTGGGCGGTGGGGAGTGCTGCTGTGCTGTCCTCTCTACATTAAATGCCTGGTGTTGGGGTCTCCAGGCCTTGCAAACCAAACAGCCAGGCACAGAGAAGGCCCAGGGGATCACACAGCTGGACCTCTCTCTCGGTGACCTGAACGTGCTGTGCCGCTTCCCTGGCTAGCCTTGAAAGCTCTGCGGGCAGGCACTGAGGCCTTTTCTCTGTGTGTCCTGAGTGGCAGGCAGGACCAGGGACGTAGCCCTGCGGCTCGACCATTGGGGGACGTGTGGAGTCCTGGAGAGGCGCTTGCTGTGAATTGTTACAGAAGCAAAAACTCTGTGTGTGCGTGTGTGTGTGTGTGTGTGTGTGTGTGTGAATGCTAACATCACACACGTGCTGGGGAGAGGAAGTCTAACATGTTCTCAGATTTGGGTCAGGGAGGAGGCTAGGCCGTCCCCAGTGCCTTTCTTTCCCCTGTTTTGAACCCAGCTGAGGGTATCCCTGGATTGCATTGACTCTTTTTTTTTTTTTTTTTTTTTAAGATTCATTTATTTCTTTCAAAGTTAGAGTTACAGAGAGAGAAAAGAGACAGAGAGATAAAGTCTTCCATCTGCTGGTTCACTCCCCAAATGACCACAATAGCCAAGGCTGGGCTGATCCAAAGCCAGGAGCCAGGAGCTTCCTCCGAGTCTCCCGCATGGGTACAGGGCCCCAAGCACTTGCGCCATCTTCTACTGCTTTCCCAGGCACATTAGCAGGGCGCTCGATTGGAAGAGGAGCAGCCAGGACTCGAACCAGCACCCATATGGGAAGTCGGTGGCACTGTAGACAGCGGCTTAACCTACTGTGCCACAGCGCCGGCCCCTCTCATTGACTCTTGACAACAGGTCTGTGGAGTACATGTGGCCTCTGCTTTATGCACGAGGACACTGGGGTGAATAGGTTTGGCAGTGTCTGTGTTTGAGCCCAGGTGTGTGTCTTTTGAGTCCTGAGCTTCTTCTCACTGAGTTAGTGTTTCCTAGCCAAGCTTTTGCAACCCGCCCTTGGCATTTATGCCACTTCCACATATTTCCTGTGTTGTCGTTTACTTAATATTTTTATGGGAATTGCTTTTTTTGAGTGTTTTAAACAACTCTGCTTGAAAAGGAAATGGTATCAGTGCGTAAACGGAGAGCCAGAATCCCCCACGGCGAGCGGAAGGTGGCACGCCTGTCACACACAGGGATTCCTGGAGGCAGCCTGCCGGCTCTGAGAAGCAGAATGTGACTGTGTCCCCCTGAGGTGCTGGGCTGCCCCGAGAG